GGGTTGGATTCCTTCCAATTCCAATCACCCAGAGTTATATGGGGTTGAAGAAATAGGGTGGGGGGAAAAAAAGTATGGGTTGAAGAAATCTGGGGAGAGGAAGAAATTGGGAAAAAGAGAGAGAGAATTAGGTAGGGTTTTAATAAATTTTTTTAATTTTTAATTTAATATGTTTAATTTATTGAAAATAATTTAAAAAGTAAATTTTTTTTTGGGTCCCACAAATGCCACGTAGGCAGATAACAGATTTTCTGACGATCTCGCTAACGGAGGGGGCTAATTGTAGGTTTCCCGCGACGTTGAGTATGTACTGATAAATGTCCCCAAAATCGAATATGAACTCATAAATAACCCTATAAGTTGGAGGGTTTACAATAGTTTACCCAACAATATTCTATACAAGAATCAAGATGGCTGCTGCTCCTGGACCTGCTGTGGTGCCCAAGAAGATGAGAAAGTAAGAAACTTTATAGATGGATTGTGGTTTGTAGACAAAAACAAGTGGAATGAGGTTCTGACTTCTGACAGGGAAGAATCATGATGAGTAAGTGACAAAATCAAGAACAAAACTCGGTGGAGTCTTGGAGATTAAAAAAATTAGCAGCCACAAAAGTTAAATAAGACCTAGCTACGCCTGAGCCAGGCAAAATCATCAACTGGGTTTATCTAACTGAACTGAACCACCAAAAAAAGAAGAGAAAAAAATAAACTTTATCAATTACCAACCTTTTCTTTTTCTGCCATTGCAGTGTGAGTACGTGTCTCAGAAACCTCAAGTGAAATGATTGAATGGGACTGGAACTCACGGGACCAACTTGTATATATATGTATATATCTATATATAAATTGAGGAATTCGGTAGAAGAGGGAGCAGCGAGGAAGAGAAGGAGAGGAGCCAGATTTGAGTTGATTCAAGATGTTTATTATGAGTTTATAAATTATGACAAAGTGCTTGCTAAGAAAGAGTGGAAAGATGTGAGCACTACGTATTTCGTACACAAAGGTCCAATGGGATGTGAACATGTAGTTATTGGAGGTTGATTTCATTCCATGGTATGATCATTGAGGCCAATAGTTCAGAGAGTCATAGCTAGCTTGATGGATGTGGTTGCAGAATGGCCTTCTTGGTTTGAGTTATAGACAACTAAGCTTGTACATGTCACGCATTAAGATTGACATGTGTGCATGCTGACTATGCTCTATCTACCGACTCATCCAGTTGAAGAAGGTATTGATTTGCACTCTCAGACTCAGTCTCAGAAGCTATTCATAATTTGCACTCTCAGACTCAGAAGCTATCCATAATGAATTTATCTGATTCAAAGTGTTTTGCTTGCTGTTTTGTTATTTTCCTAATTTTTCTTATCCGAAGAAATAATATAATTATAATAGGAATTTAGTTGTCCCTTGCCTCTTTATGAAGCGCCTTCCATTTTGGCTGTCTCCTTGATTTGAATCCTAAGAATTAAAAAATTCATTTCAAATTGATGGCCTGCATTTATATATATGATGAAGTGTTTTGAATTTGGTAGCTTGGTGGTTACAAGAGGACTTTAGAAGTGAAAGGCCAATCCATCTGATGTCGTACACAAAGAAAAACTTATCACGTAAGGTACCCTCCTCCTTTACCCACCAAAGAGATAAAGAGGGTGTCTGTGATTAGTCATAATAAGTGGGGAGAAAGGTTAGGCAGGTTTTGGCTCCATGCATGCCTCACAAACCCTTCTGGTGCCGACAATTCTCACCACTAATCCTACGAAGAATGGCCTTAGCTTTAACGTGCCCAAAATTGGGCTGGGCCACCTGCTGCTCGCACTTCAGACCTCAAACTTGTGCTAATCACTAGAGACCCACTTTGGAAAACCCATTGAGAGTTGGGTTGGGTCCGGTCCAACATTTGAAAACAAAAGGTAAAGTGAAAGTAGGAATGACAGAGCCCATACAAGCGTTATCGGGTGGGAATAATATATCAAAGCCATTATCTCAGGTGCATTGATAAATGTTCTTAATCACTTGAGTTAAAATTCAATTGCGGTGAACATTATAATTGCTCTTCGTACATGAAAGTTAGCAATACTCCCCGTATATATATCCTCGCTCTTAAATCGTGAGCCATTTAAACTCTGGTATCCCTGTAAGTTGAACTACCAAAAAGGAAAATAAAAATGGAGAATTCCATTCAATTCACCCCAAGGGAAAAGAGTTAAGCAAATAAAATATCTTCCCGACCTGACACAAGTCCAACTCAAAGGCAAACGTAGCTAGGGCAATTGGGTAATGGAGCTTACCAACAACCTGTAAAGTCTGGGCTTAGCATGTATTAGTATATGTGGGTAGATGAAGGAGTTATTGGGTTTCTGTATGGTCAAGTTTCGGCTTAAATGGCCTCCCCTTGTTTTTTTAAAATAATTATTTTTTTGTTGGGCGTGTTCGAAGGGAGGGGAGTCATCTCTCAAGTTGCAAGGAAGTACAAGGACCACGGCCACCACTTGTCAATTTAGGGATTCTAATATCACAATCAGCTTTTGATCCATATACTTTCTCTTGGCTTATTTCCCGTCTCCTGTTTGATGCATGTTGAGCCTACGTTTGGGCTTAGCCGGCGCACATATTACAGACAGCAAGCCACGTACTAATCATCCAGTTCCTATTACTAATAACGTCAAGTCATGCATATTTACCTAGGCTAAGCTCAATGATCAATCATTAATTCCTGATTGTTAGGCGCTTAATTCGTTAATCACATAAAGAGCTGATTGTACGACTGCTTCTTCTTCAGCTAGTGATCCAACCAAGTTTTGCCCTATTTGTATATGCTGCTGTGCTGTCTGTCCAGGCTCCAGCCATTACTTTAAGTGCTAAACATTTACGTGCCAATGAGACACGTTTAATAGAATTGTGAGTGTAATGTACTAATGCGTATGATTGATTGGGTGCCAACTTGCTTAGGTAAAGACAAGAAACCCTCCAAATAGTAAATACCAATCACCTCCTTTTCCTTTCTTTTATTTTCTTTGTTTTGATTGGTTGTTGGTTACTAACTTACAAAGCTAGTCTCACTCATGGCATGGAATGGATGATGGACGGCCTCACCTCAGTCAGAAGAAAGTTGTGGATGACGATCATGTTTATCAATGCAATACCACAAGTTACAAACATATGCATGCAAAAACATACAGACACTCGCAGACAGACACAAAAGAAAAGACCCTAGTCCTCATCAGTCTCTCTCTGAGTGAGTGGTTTTCCTGAGATGGGTCCCACTGGATTCCACCATCAAAGCAAAGAGAAAGTGAAAGAGCCTCTTCCCTTTACAGATGCTGATCCTGATGATATGATTCTTCTTTCTTTCCCAGGCCAACGACCCTGAATTGGACTGTAGACTTTAGTCCACACGATAATCACTTGGGCTCCTTCCCTCCATCCATCCTCTGCTATTATTAGTATTCACATATAATAATATACTGTCAGTGAGTTGTGACAGCCTTATTTCCCTGCTCCACATATATAATATACTTGGTTCTTTTTTCTTTTCCTCCCCAGGAATCACATACTGGTTTTTTCTTTTGTCTTCCTTGTAAAATATATAACATGACCAAATTAATTAGCTGTTAAGTAATAAAGTGAGTGTGGTATATACTATATATGATAAATGTGGGCTGGGCTCTTTTGGGTTAATTGTTGAAAACCATAATCTGACTGATTTGATTCGAAAAAGGTCTTATCTGCACTTTGTCTTAGTATAGTTTGGAAGAACTTTTTGTTAGCTAGTAATGTAGGAGGAGAATCTCACCTTACCTTATCATCAGAATTCAGGGTTTAGCCTCATCCTTTGCCTTTCGACCGTCTAAACATCTCATCAATATCAAAGCAATAATTAATATATAACATACAGCAAAAGCTATAAAGTATAATAATCACACAGCCAGCTAGCTTTCCTCTTTTGTCTTTTGTCTAAGTAAGGTTTTCTGCTTTTTAATTAAAGTTAAACCTTTCCATAAGAAATCATATCGTATGTTTGTAATGTATTCATTAATTTGCTTTTTGGCGTAGAAAATGATCCAATTGAATCAACATTTTTAATTTGACAATGAATTAAAATGATCGAATTTTATTCCTGACCAAGGAATTGGATTGAATGAATGACATTTTATATGTAAACATTCAATACAAAGCTAACCCTTTTCTTACCATCGTTTCCTTTTTGTCCGGGTAAAATGATTTTTGTCCCCACCCTGCCTTTAATACGAACAGTACCATGAAGACACCCACCACCATGCAACTCATTTTGAAGGAAAGCAGGGGCAATTTGGCAGAAGCTGAGTCAGCAAGGACGGTAATCTAGTCTCTGCATTAAACAATTCCACGTCAGATATGTAGAATTCTCACGTAACTTAAATGTCCTTTAGCTTCCTTCCTTCCCCACCCACACCACACCCCGAAAGACCCCAAAGGGGGGAGAGAGAGAGAGAGAGAGAGAGAGAGAGAGAGAGAGGAGTGAGAAAGCTAATTAAAACCAAAGAGTGAAGTGAACTGTGAATACAATACTCTACTCTAGAGTCCACTCTACTCTTCATTATATTTTGGGTGCGAGCTGCAGATTGCACAACAAGTTTAGTCACCAGAGAAATGGGTGAAGTAAGTATTTCTTTTCTCCCAACAAACACTAACATATATACACTTCTTTGTATCGTTAATCGATAACACCAGTAGTGTGTGTTTGAGATCTTGATCTACCACTTCTTCAATCGTGCTTTCATTTCATGGATCTTCTCTTTGGGTCTGCAAACTCGACCCTTTTGATGTGCTGCTTCCGACTGTTTCTTGTGTAATAGTATTTACACATTATTACTTTCTGTAGCTTCATGTATAAATGGCATTTAATTGATTTTTAATATTTTCTGTGTGGAAACCAATTAAAGGAGAAGAAAGAGGAGAAGAAGGAGGAAGAAAAGAAGAAAGAAGGCAAAGACGAAAAGGAAGAAAAGAAAGAAGAAGAGCCTCCGGAGATTCTACTCAAGGTCGATATGCATTGTGAAGCTTGCGCAAGGAAAGTTGCTAGAGCCTTGAAGGGTTTTGAAGGTAACTATTTCTTTTTTCTATATTTTTACCTTTCATAGAATTCAAACCTTAAATTTTGAATTCTAATGAGCTAGGAAAGTATACGTAATTCAATTTTAGAGAGGGCAGTTCATGCTTAGCACGTTTTTCTTGAAGAAAACATTTTTAAAATATATAATTCATTCCTAAACTAATCACAAAGAAATTAAAAGGTGTACAAATATAGAATAGAATACACGCGTAGGAGGTGATGGGTGAAATTGTGGTTGTGGTTGGACGGTGCAGGAGTGGAGGATGTAACGACAGACAGTAAGGCAAGCAAAGTTGTGGTGAAAGGCAAAGCGGCGGACCCCATAAAGGTGTGCGAAAGATTACAAAAGAAAAGCGGCAAGAAAGTGGAGCTCATTTCACCTTTACCCAAACCTCCCGAGGAGAAGAAAGAAGAACCGGTTAAAGAAGCTGACAAGGAAGAGAAAAAAGAGGAGGTAATTCTCTCCAAAACCTGCTTTTACTCACCCTCTCTTTAACTTTAACTTTAACTTTACCGCCCATAATACGAGATTAGAGTATAATTAATATCAGATATTAACCCATCACCCTTTACTGGAACTGATATCATAAACAGAAGTTGATTAAATTAATTCATTTTAAGTAGGGTATGGATGGGCACGACACACATCACAGTTCCCTAAAACAGTGAATTTTGAAAGTGCTGTTTAAATTATATGCTGACATGAAAGTAACAATTCAAAATGATACCCCACCACCTTCTCCTCCTCCACACCAGAAAAGGCACATTTCACAAGACTAGTCACCACTCGGGCTAGCTTTAGATACCTCTCCTCCACAGGGACCAGACTTACGCTGCTAAGCTAAGGGTTTTGACCTTTCATTCACCATCCACCATTTTGGGTGTCAAGACTCACGGGTATATATAGGCATAAATTAATACAATAATTTTAAAAATAACTCAACTCAACACAACACACCTACCTATAAGTATTAGAATTAACCTATAACTTTTTTCTTTTTTCTTTTGGTTGGTATTTATTCCTTGTGTTGTATATAGTATATATGATTTCATAAACAAATCTGCATATGCCTGCACTTGCACTGCCTTGGCTTCGAGGCTGCTGCTTGTCGTGTATTTGCAGGATCTGTTTGTATTGTATATATCATATATATAATATGTACCCCACTCCCTCCCATTGGGAGCTGCGTCTGTTGGCATCACATGTCCACCATTACTCCTGCCCCTTGGGCCTTGCTTAAGTAAACTAGGGCGTGCATTCGAGAAATCAAAATTGTATTTAGACACAAGTCTCTTAGCTAGTCAGGTTACAGAAAGAAGACAAAGTAGTTAGACCAAGAAATCAAAATTGTGGAGAGAGATGATGCTTAATTAGTAAAATTTGACCTTGTTGTTGTAAGAATCAAATTACTTGATTTAGATATATAATCATATTATTATTTGTGAGGGGTATTAATTGTACAATTTCATATATCTGACCAGTAACTAGTTATTAATTCAATCTACATATACATTGTCAGCCTCCGGCTGTTGTTACAGTGGTATTAACAGTTCGAATGCACTGCGAAGCATGCGCTCAACTTTTACAGAAGCGAATCCGAAAGATCAAAGGTATATCTTATATCATCTTCCATTATATATTATGCACTCTTTCGATAAGTAAAAGATGATTTTACCCACTATATATATGGTAATTTTATTCAAATGAAACAACTACTAATAGTGATAGGGGTCATAGGATTTCATGCCTGGGAGGATGGGGTAGGTAAGAATGCCATCCCAACCTAACAGCAGGACCCCTGAGCCCGAGGGTATATTTTCTGAATGTGCATAAAGGGCCGCCTAACTTGGCGAAAAACAAAATCCACATCCAACTATAAATAAGGCTAGCTGCTATAGTTACTTTTTTATATATCCAAGAATTAACAGTAACTAGTTGTTGGTATGAAATCTTACTGGAACATATACAGATAACCATATATGCATCTTGCTGAGGAATAATGTGTTATTGCAGGTGTGGAATCAGTGGAAACAGACGTCGCTAACAATCAGGTTGTAGTAAAAGGTGTGGTGGATCCTGCCAAGCTTGCTGAGGAGGTGTACAAAAAAACCAGAAAGCAGGTTTCCATTGTGAAGGAGGAAGAAAAGAAGGAAGAAGAAAAGAAAGAAGAGGAGAAAAAAGAAGGAGAAAAGAAAGAAGGGGAGGAAGACAAAGGATCAGAGGATAACAAGATTGATATAAAGCGGACCGAATATTGGCCAACAAAGTTCTACTCGGATTATTCTTACCCTTCCCCGCAGATTTTCAGTGATGAGAACCCTAATGCCTGCTCTGTTATGTGACCATAAATAAATAAAGCATGACTCTAGCTAGTAAGCATGCAGTAAGATATGCCTGCCTGCTGCCTCCCTATATATGCAATTTTCTACGTACATGTGCGGTAACTGATAAGAGACAATATTGCAACCTAAAATTAAGAGTCTATGCCACCCTCTCTTGGCATGCTATGTGTAATTTATGTCTAAATTGCTGTCTGTGGTCTGAGGTTTGAAGTATATGTAGTCATGCAATAATGAGTTCCCTCTGGCCTAAGTTTGTATATCGCATATGCTCTAGCTATCTCTAAACTTGTGAAATTTTGGTGTATCTACTCAAGTGGACGTATAAGTCAAGAAGCCTCTTCCTTAATTTTATTCTGCGTGAATTATTAGATGCGAAGATCTCGGAACAAGACCCTCTCTGCTAGTGAACCTTCTCTGTTTCATGGATTTCAACTTTCATGATCAGGTTGACTAGTACGCTCAATCTTCTTTTTTTCTCTTCTTTTTTCAAACTTGAACCGTCTTTTCAGGTTGGCACTTCACAGTCACATAGCATTTTAAAGTTGCTTTGCCTTGTGATTAATTACCATTCCTCAAACTCTTGTCAGATAAAGGAGACAAGGAAAAAGTGAAAAATAATGTAAAGCAGTTTGAGTACAGGTTGGTACGTACCGAACATATATATTGAGGATCATTGGGATAATGAAATGAAACAATGGTGGGCTTAATTAGGAAAATGTAGGCAAGCCGGTGAATCTAGAATTTAAATTTCGAGCTTTGGACTTGGACATATATTATATGAATGACAGGCCAAAAAGAGAAGAGAAGGTTGGACATATGTTGTACTACTGGTCTATACTAATTGAATGTGGGCAGAAATCAAGTGCAGTGGCTCGAATACTATTAAGGGTACAAATTAGTACGAGTAGTGCAGGCAGTGGAAGAAAATTGGAAACTGAGTCAAAATAAAAGGTGTGGTGAATGGCTGACGAAAAACCCCACGGAATTGTATAGTTTTGCACCACCTATAAAAAGCATCTGATCAAGAGAGAGGCCATGGCACATGAGCCACTCGTCTCGTTAAAGATGCCGATGCCTCCTGGATGCGCTGGTGTGTGGTAGTCTAGATATGTCAACGTACATACAATAAGAATATATATATATATATATATATATATACATATATATATGTATGTATGTCCCAGCGGACTTTATACAAAGCAAAGCAACTGAACAAGCACAGCAGTGGACCACAAGGCCACTGTGAATTTGATGGAATATATATAAAGGTAATGGGATGGAGAGATCTTGATTAACCGAAAGGTGAAATAGACTGGTGGGTGGAGCGATCGAGCGTGCATATATATATATATGATCCTTAGCTTGCCAGGTTTCTGAGGCTTGGAATCCTCCTCCTAATAAACTCATAGCAGGCTCAATGGGAATGGCAGTCCACTTATATATATATAAGTTGGGCCTCATCGAGTGGTGACAGACGAAACATACCGTTTTAAATTTTGACATGCATAACTTAAACCCTATAGATAGATAGAATCTTCTTTTTGTTTGTTTGGCTTGTGCTTTTGGATGGAATATGTATCCATCTATCTATCTATCAATATGTCGCTGGCTCGAAAGGTGGCCCGCCGTGAGACATGATGCAGTGAGGGTGAGGCCCACCTATTTTTGTTTTCTGGTGGTAGATGCAATGTCTTGTTCTTTCTATATCACCATTCTTTCTGGTTCACCACCACCATGTGGAATTCTTTGTCCCTAATTATATATACCTATTCGGATTCCTTCTTTATCAAGCCAGCCACACTCATAGGGTATAGCTAACAAGCATGCCTTATACTTAGTGTGAACGCCGCGAGAGTTTGCTTAAATTTGTAAGTTGGATTAATGTATCTATGAGGAGGACTACGTTTTAACGTTTAGTTTTGATTTGAGAGAATATACATAACAATTATACCTTCATACTAATAAATAATTGGAACATGCAATGCAATCAGTTTTAACATTTCATGCCATGAAAGGACATGATCACACGGGTTCCCTTCATTAACTAGTTGGAATTGGCCCACCACCAATTATCATCCCCTGTCCCTACCTCATCACAAAATTATAATTATTCTACAACTACACTTGAAGTTCCTATTATATATAATTAGTGTCGATTAATCAACCTTGAAGAGTTAATATTTATTACTAGACTTTGACGGTAACGCAACAAATTACTCCTCATTACAAACCCAAAAACAAAGTAACAATATTAGCTAATAGAAAATCAGATTAGATTAGAAGCAAGTAATAATATTATTGGAAGATGCATCAAGTTTGTTGATATGTTTTAACTTCTGTATATATGTTTATTGTAATTTTGACGTGCGACGGTGCAAGCCCTTTTTTATCCTTTCCATCTTTAATACTAACGATATTAGTCGGATGGATGAGTCAATGGAATGAACTTTAGATATAAATAATTAGGCTTCTACCAACCTAATAATTAAAGATATAATGAAGTACATATTATATATATACGATTTGTTTTGGATCCATCTAATGATTGAGATAGAGTACGTAGGTTGAGATGAAGTTATCGAAAGCTCTATTTCTCCTCATCTGATCTTGTTATTCTTTACAAAGGTGTGCCAGAAGATGAAGCCGTTGCAACTCATATCACAATGAAAGTGAAGCACAAGTACCTACCTCTGACTTATGTATGACTATGACAACCCTAACTCTTGTGGTATGTGATCTCTAATATTGGTTGGAAAACACGTGTGTTATCAGTGCCATGGTGTGATCTTTTAAAATCTAAGTGCATGCCTACTTTTGCAATCTCTTGTTTTGGAGATTGAGGAGGGAGGAGAGGAGAGTGGTGAGTGCTGAATGAATCTCAACTGCTGATTTGAGTCAACCCTAAATTTAAGAATTAAGAGGACTCGCGGGGTCCACTCATAGCGGTGGGGCCCTCCTCCTCCACCCTTTCGATTCGAGTCACTGTGTAACTCTGGTGTTTGTAAACCAACGGTTTCGTAGTCTCCCATGTGTCCGTCCTCTCGCTCGCTCTGTATAAAATGCTGCAAAGGGGGTCCATCTCATCAAGTTAGTCTTGATTGTTCTTATTTCTCCATCAAAAAAATAACAATAAATCCAACTTAGTCTTGGTCTCTTTGCAAAAGTCCACTGTAGGCCCCACCGCCACAACGTATGAAAGCTAGCGCAGAAGACCTCTTGCTCCCCTCTGGTATGTGATTGTGATATTTCCTTCTATTCTTCTTTCCAATGTGAATGTCAATCGCACTCACATCGGAAATTCAATCCAAGTGCCACAGTTCCACACTAACTTGTAGTAACTGCACCCTCCTTTTCTTGTTAATTTCTTTCCAGCAGAAATTTGAAAATATCACAGGTATATAATATCATTGTCAGTTCGTAAGTTACTCAATTTAGGAACAAGTACAAATTCATTGCAATAAATTATTAACTTTGCCACGGTATAGCCTAGTTTGGTGGAAAAATGATATTGACTTGCAAACCAATGATTTTAAGTTCGAATCTCTATAATACCGTGATAGTGCACTCGACCAAAGAAAGACCATCAAATGAGTGTGAATCCACGCGTATAATTTTTTATTATAAAGAAAACTATTTAACACAGTGTGATAGTGGGCTGATTGAATCTGCCCGAATTACTGGTATTTGTTTAGTGCGTGGTATTCACGAGCTCAAATTACTGGGCTTTTGTGATAAAAATGATGTTTCAATTATGTGAAATCTTAACACAATTATAGATTTGATTTCTGCTCGAATGTAAAAACACGTTGGATAAGCACAGACTTAGGTGTGACATGGATTCGATTATCCGGGTCCCACTTTTACAAATCATGTGTGAAGCCAGAGATGGTTTTTGCTGAACACAAGGCAATTGTGTGCAAGGCGTTTGAGGACACGTGATGTTCACACGCGCAGTAAAGTTGCGGCGACCAACCATGGCCATTGCCGTTGCCACTCCCAAGTCCCAAATGAATGATCGAATCCACTACCACCATTTGCCTTGCTGTCATACAATTTTCCCTCCCTTTTCGCTAATCTAAACCTAAAATAGAATTGATCTTTTGTATTGGAGGCCAATAATTACTCTGCAATTCCAACCCCGAAAAAAGAAAAATTAATAATTGCGGACTTGATGAAATTACCAAAACAATGTTCAACGCAGGGCACTGTTGATTCCCAAAATTCTTACGCAATGGGGAGGTCAAACGTTTTGCCACGTTTACAACTCCAACAGCTTGAGCTGCACACGAGCTTTTATCTTGCGTGGCAATGTTACTGGCCCATGGGTCTGACATGGACCTTATTATGCGGGTCCTTCTTTGGCAGCCCACGTGTAAAAGGGGCGTGGCTTTTGTGGAGATTGAGACGTTTGTACTAAAACATGCCACACGCCCTCAGGGAAAGTGGTTTACACGAGCGAGGTAAAATTTGTAATTACGACCAAGTGCCACTGCCAACTAAACCAAATCAAACCATGGCTTACTCCTTACATGGCAAGGGCATTTAATTGTTCGTGAATTTCAAGGCCTTTTTTATTTTATTTTTGTAGCTCAACTTATATGTACATGTATTGTTTTTTCAATACATACGATATTTATTTAAGAAAGAAGGTTCGAAAAAATGACCTTATATGTATAAATAACTTCTTTTAACGATTATACGTACATATTTTGTCCGAAATAAACGAAAGTTTTCATCAAGAGCATGTATGTATAATTTGGTTGGAGGATGCATGTTGCATAGCCAATATTATATATTATTATTAGCATATGGATGTATGTATCCAAATCAATTCAATTCCAGGCAAAAATGGTAGTTTCAATTAAATTTGTTATTGTATGCTAGAACGAGGACAGTGAGACTTCTGTAACATCATTAAAAGGAAATTAAGGGCATAATTGTCATCTAATTGGCAAAAGTCAGTGTGTATATATATGTATGTAACTGCATCTTGGTCTTATTACTCTGACACTAAATTCCAACCCGAAGCAAGTACGGGACCTGTAAGCCTCTAACACATAATCACACATCAGTCTTCGGACACAGACAGGCTACTTGTTTCTTTTCTGCTATTTTCTCTTTCTCAGTTTCTCGGATAAGAGAGTAACAGGGAAAAACAGAGAGAGGTTTCAATGGCGTCCAAGTACCACATGGACCCCGAGAAGGCGGCTAATGGGAGCAGTGAAGATCATGAGAGATGCGCCGTAGAAGAGGTGGCCTTGGTGGTGCCTGAGACGGACGACCCTTCAATGCCTGTCATGACGTTCAGGGCCTGGTTCTTGGGCTTAACCACATGCATCATCTTAATCTTCCTCAACACCTTCTTCACCTTCCGTACGCAGCCCCTCAGCATCTCTGCCATTCTCATGCAAATTGCTGCTCTGCCCATCGGCAAGCTCATGGCCTCCACCCTCCCAAAGCGCGAGTACAGCCTCCTGGGGTGGAGGTTCAGCTTGAATCCTGGGCCCTTCAACATGAAGGAACATGTCATCATCACCATTTTTGCCAATTGTGGGATTTCTTACGGAGGGGGTGATGCCTATTCAATTGGTGCCATTACCATTATGAAGGCCTATTACAAGCAGAGTTTGAGTTTTCTTCTTGCTCTCATCATCGTCTTGACTTCTCAGGTTAATTAAGTCACAACCACAACTCTTCCATTCTCTCAACTCTCTCTTCAGTTTTTTAATTCTTCTTTTCGTTTCTTTTCTTTTCACTGAACTTGGAAGGTTTCACTTTCTTTTTCTTTCTCTCTTTTTTTTTAAAGAAAATAAAACGTATTCTAGTAATCTTTTGAATTTTATATTTGAGTAGAGATTTTGGAAATTTTTATATATAGCACACACCCATGACCATGAATGGCCTTATCACGCTGCCGTGCATTCAATTTCAATAAATCAGTGTTTTGGGTTCTCCAAAAAGAAAATATATATAATAATAGTCAGGCAATTTTAGTTAATAAAGAAATAGCCTTTCAAATTCAGAAAAAAGTTTTTATTTTATTTTAAAATTATACTTGTGGATAGAGGCTAGCAAACATGAAGAAGCCAAAGATTTGTGAATAGTTGCTGCAATTTTTGTTTGAATTTCTGGGTTTTTGATGATGTGCAGATATTGGGGTATGGATGGGCAGGGATTCTCAGGAGGTTCCTGGTTGACCCCGTTGAAATGTGGTGGCCTTCCAACCTTGCTCAGGTTTCTCTGTTTAGGTATGACTTTGTCCTCTGCTTTTCCTTATTCAATGTTCCGTTTAGTTGTTGAGATTGAGAGATAAAAGTAAGATAATAAAATAGCTTAAAGTTGAAAACCTTTCTCCTCCTCCAACTCACTGCTAAACTGACTCGTCAAAACAACATAAAATTGGAGGGTGATGCCATAATGGTTGAATCCTGTTCTAATTTGCGTTTTAGATGTTTGTGGTAAAAGTTTTCGGTTTCCCTGTGAATGATGAAGTCATAAGCCAAGCGCTGCTGCATGTTCAATGGTTGAGAATCTGTTTCATTTCATGCTCTCTGTCTTGCCAGATTGGAGTAATATTCCCTCACAACGCATAACGCTACAATTTTAATCTTTATAATAAATAAGGTCAAGTGGAAGATACGCCTTTCTTAAATGGTGAATTACTTGCTTTGATGGAGAACGAAAGAAAGCAAAAGTGATCTTTTAGTTGGCAATGGCATAAACTTAAAGTAGAGAATTTGAATGTATGTTGTTATTGGTCTAGTAATATAATCTTGAATTTGATCTCATCAAAATGACTTTGTTGCTGTTTGTGTTGAAACTTTTCACAGAGCACTCCATGAAAAGGACAATAAAGCAAAAGGCCTTACGCGGATGCAGTTTTTCTTGATTGCCATGGCAGCAAGCTTTGCTTATTATGCACTCCCTGGCTACCTTTTCCCGATCTTGACCTTCTTCTCATGGGTCTGCTGGGCTTGGCCACACAGTATCACAGCTCAGCAAATTGGCTCAGGTTACCATGGACTTGGGGTTGGTGCTTTCACCCTTGATTGGGCTGGGATTTCAGCTTATCATGGCAGCCCCCTAGTCACTCCCTGGACTTCCATTCTCAACGTTGGGGTTGGATTTGTCTTGTTCATCTATGTCATTGTCCCTGTTTGCTACTGGAAGTTCAACACTTTCGATGCTCGAAAGTTCCCTATATTTTCCAACCAGCTATTCACCTCTAGTGGCCAGAAATATGACACTACCAAGATCTTGACACCCCAGTTTGATCTTAACATTGATGCCTATAATAGTTACGGCAAGCTCTATCTTAGCCCGCTTTTCGCTTTATCCATTGGATCAGGATTTGCAAGATTTTCAGCAACCCTCGTTCATGTGGCACTGTTTCATGGCAGGTACTTTCAATTAAACTTTAAGTTCCATTCTCCACTCATACTACTGTTATTAATTTGTTGCCATCTGCAGAGCAAGTTACCTAACCTTGGATACGTGGAGTAAATTGTTCATACTTAACTGACAAAGTTATCCTGGATTTTTCCTTTTCCTAGTGCTATTTTGAAGCAAAGCAGATCAGCAATGAAGAATGTGAAAGTGGATATCCATGAAAAACTGATGCAGCGTTACAAACAAGTGCCTCAGTGGTGGTTCCTCATCCTATTAGGAGGGAGCATTGCCCTGTCCCTGCTAATGTGCTTTGTATGGAAAGAAGTTGTGCAGCTGCCGTGGTGGGGGTTGCTATTTGGCTTTCTCTTGTCTTTCATTGTCACCCTCCCAGTTGGGGTCATTCAAGCAACCACCAACCAAGTAATTCTATGATTTCTTGATTCTTTCTTTCCTCATCTTTACTGGTGCACAAACAACTGTGAAATACCTTTCTAACCACTAAAAAACACATCTTGTGGCTTTCGTGCAGCAACCTGGATTTGACATCATAGCACAATTCCTTATTGGGTATATTCTACCAGGAAAACCAATTGCGAACTTGTTGTTCAAAATCTATGGACGAATCAGCACTGTGCATGCGCTCTCTTTCCTATCTGACCTTAAACTTGGGCACTATATGAAGATTCCACCTCGTTGCATGTACACAGCTCAGGTATTTTCATCACAGAAAGTCATACTTGGCATTTCTGTTTCTGTTTCTGTTCCTAAAAGGTATTCCCCTTTTTGTGTCAAAGTTATGTTAAACTGATATTCCAGTACATTGTCTTCCTTTGTTCGTTTGTCTCCAGCTGGTGGGAACTCTGGTTGCTGGTATTGTGAACCTCGCAGTTGCATGGTGGATGTTGGAGAGCATTGACAACTTATGCGATATTGATGCACTCCATCCAAACAGCCCCTGGACTTGTCCAAAGTACAGAGTCACCTTTGATGCTTCTGTTATTTGGGGCTTGATTGGACCAAGGCGACTGTTTGGACCTGGAGGACTGTATAGGAACTTGGTATGGCTATTCATTGTCGGAGCTTTCTTGCCAGTTCCAATTTGGATATTGAGCAAAATCTTCCCGGACAAGAAATGGATTCCCTTGATAAACATGCCAGTCATTACTTATGGCTTTGCCGGGATGCCGCCTGCAACTCCCACCAATATAGCAAGCTGGCTCATCACTGGAGGTATCTTCAACTATTTCGTGTTCAAATATCACAAGCGCTGGTGGCAGAAATACAACTATGTCCTATCTGCAGCGTTGGATGCTGGGACAGCATTTATGGGCGTCCTACTCTTCTTTGCCTTGCAGAACAATAACTACAATGTGAAATGGTGGGGGACTGAACTTGACCATTGTCCTTTGGCAACATGCCCCACTGCCCCAGGTATTAAGGTTGAAGGATGTCCAGTTTTTTAAATAGCCACGGAAAAAAGAAACAAAGAGATATAGTATTTCATTTTCAAGATTCAAAGCTAAGGAAGGAGGGTAGGTTGTCGTTGTGGAGGAAGAGGACAAGTGCCAAAGTTCGTACGAGCTTGTGTAGTAAACAATGGAAGGATTGGTTGTTCTACTTTTATGTTCTGTTATAGCATAAATTTCTCGTTTAGATGAAATGTATGGCAGTTAATTATCTTTGAATTGGCAATAGATAAGTAGCTATGCTTGCCATCTCTGCACATGCCATTCTTCTTTCTCTTTTGTTACTCATCTTTCTTTTAAAAAAATTATGTTTATCTTTGAATGGCCTCCCAACTTGTTGATGCACAAGTAAGCGTAATTCCTCCTAGACAATCAAATATGTTTGACATCCTCAGCCAGGCTGGGGTTGAATAGCAGAGCAAAAGGTGAAGTGATTTTTCATTATCTCCATTGAAAGTAGTGATCCTTCATTCTGATCACTGTATCATATTTTATCATACTAATTTCTACTCTACCTTCCCAGAGTTCCTGAGATGTGGATCATCTAAGGCACATTAGCATGGCATACTTCTCCTGTTAGAAACCAAACTTTTAAAATTTATATATAAAAACAGTGAATGTGCAGGTTCCCACAAATACGATTTTCATCTTTCGTTTCTTTTGATTCATGTTTTCGTTGTTCAGTTGTAAGTTCATTTTGACAAGTCTGTAAAAAACGGGGGTCTGGTGATTCCCAAGTTTTGCCAAAAGGTAGGCAACCTCGGGTAACAGACTAAATAAGGGCCAACGTTAAGTAATTTGATCATATCGGATACGCATTTCCCTTGAACAAAATAAATGAACAACCAGTAAGTGCAAGTAAGAATCAGTATGCAAAAGCAGCTGGATCAATGGTCATTTAGCAATGGAATTGTGTGAAAATACAATCTTGAAGTTTCACCTGATAATCCTTCCTCAACATACCGAAGCCATGAAAATGGCATTGAACTTTTCAATTTATATAAACTAACTACATAAAGGGGTCTGTAGTGTCCAGACAAACATTCTGTGTATGCTTATCTCTGCAAGGACTTGTAGAGAACCACTGTAACATACTTCGCTATAAACCTCTCCGTTGTACCAAGTGCCACCACAGATGGGCCACTCTTCCCTTTCTGCATGTAAAGGTGATTGAGTACCACATGTTGAGGTCTTGACAAAGGTGGCGGCATCTCCATGTAAGATGACGGCGCATTGAGCAGTGTCATTTGTAGGTGTGGGGGAACCAATGGCGGCTCCTTTGCAAAATCTTCAGATCCAAGCTGCAGGTTGTTATAACTTGAGTCAGGGGACTGGGGAGGTTCAAAACCAGAAATGCTGCCAATGTCTTCTGGAACATAATCCTGTAGAAGAAACCAATAATATCAATCAGCTTCGTGGACTCGCACATACTATTCCAACAAGTTGTCATACTATTGTTCAGACTCAGATAGCCCAGCAATGAGAAAATGCAAGTGCATGATTCTGCTTGCATGTTGTATATTTCCGCCATGCCATTTTAGAGACTAAGAACTGACAGCACAAATTCAGAAAAAGATACAAGAAAAGGAAAATCAACACAGTGATTAAAAATCCTCATTTAAATGTGTAATTTCAATTGAAGGAGTACATGAAGTAAAAGGTTCAAAAGCTAAACCTGGTATCATTGAGATCAGTGTTTTTAAAAACCTGCCATTGGATTAACCATCCTTCTAGTGCTTAGCATGCATGCCGAATTTTACATGAATTAAATCTCAATTAGTATCTGACCCATAAACTCATGCTCCTTGCCTATTTTAAAACAATAAAAAAAAACATCATTTTGAGCTTTTCTTTATAAATGAATGAAGGTGTTATAAATTTCTGATTATCTTCAAAACCTGTGAGCATGACAAGCATAAGGAGAAATTATAATCCAATAGATCAAACTAAAAGTACAGGGGTGTAGCAAAAAGATGGTTAAACCGGGTGTAATTTGATCCTTCTCCCATATACTGAAACTCTTTATGTCACAGGCATCGGCTGCCCAGATTATTCTCTATATAAAATCCAAAACACGAAAGAAAGGACTAACTAAAACTCACTGGAAAAGAAAAGACAAAGATCTCCCGGAACCTTATTGAACATCATTTCCAAAAAAGGAAAAAAAATCTTTCGAAAAACAGAAATTTGGTAAGAGAAGTTTATGAATAAAAAACTGGATACACAGTGAAAGTGAACAAGCACTCTACCTAAAATGCAAACATGAATTTAACAGCTAAGCTAAGTTGAAGGTATTAATATCAACATTGATAAAAATATTAAGGGTCTGCTCGACAAGTATTGATATTGAAGAAATTAGACTATAATGACGGAAATCTTATGAATCTTACACCATAGAAGAAATATCAAGGAAATTATCCATATTCCAGAGTGTCTACTATAATCACTAAATATCTAAAGGAAAACAAATTGCATAAAAGTAGGATTTACATAAACAGAACTAAGACAGTATGCTAAAAAAGGTTGCAGTTTAATGAATGCTTTAACAAATACATATGCAATACAATTTCTGAATAATGTTATTATACCAAGCATAATGCAATGCCATCATAATATCTATTCTGAGATAAGCTCTTATTTTCTGATAAAGGAAACTTTTAAAAGCAGTTTATACTCATTAGTCCGTGATTGAGTCCCAAGAGAAGGTTATCTTACTCATCTGATCTGACTAGGAGTTTCATTTTTATGAATGAGATCAATAAACAGATGCAAGTGTTTTATAAGGATTGTCACACTCATTCGACACACCTATCAACCTAGGAAGGTATGACGATCATTACCTGCAAGTCCAAAAGGTTGTAAGAATTGCCCGCATCATCTTGGGCCAAGGGTAAATCAGGAGAGAACCTCCACTGCCCATCAACAATAAACCTATACTGGTAAACACCGGATGGCAGTACTTTCATGATCGTGAAGTCTTTCCCTGATCTCTGTAAGGCCATTCTGTAAAAACAAGATAGAACCAAGAACTTAGGTAAGAGTTCAGGTAGTGAAAACTACATTTAAAACTTAAACTATTTTTATTTTTATTTTCGGGAACCTTGTCTTCCAGTTATCCCAGGATCCCTCCACAGCTACATCCTTCCCACCATAGCTCCATGTAATCATAGTCGGAATTCCTTGCTCACAGCACATGTCTTCAAACCCTGAAGTTTGCATCCATGAGTTGTTTGGTATGTGTATCTCATCTGGTCTTTGTAAGGGAACCACAGGGACCTGGAAAAAGTTGAACAAAAGGATGAAAATCGTGGATTTCCATAGATAAAAAATAAGGAAATACATCAGTATGAACAAAAGGCAAGGGTGCAGGTAACAGGAACGTAATTCAGGGCATTGACTGAGCTCATCATATACATAATATACTTAAGCAGAACAACAGATTACCAATAGGTTGGTGCTCGATGGTATTAAAAAAGGGGCTAAACATTAAAATCCAAATATTAGAGCCTCGTAGTGCACCAAGGGATAGATTCATGTAAAACGTATTTTCCAATTTCAGAATTGGTGAGAGAGAAAGATAGAGAGGAGGGGGGATTTGGAATCAGAATTTATTACTTAGTTTCCTGTCATCAGTCACCCAACGGTTGACCACTTGTAATCCTTTTTTGGCTAATTCCATGATCCAAAATACGGACTTCTCACAGAGAACCACATAGCCAATATCAAAGATAAGCAGATTGCATGATGATAAACCGTTTTTTTTTTTTTTTTTTTTTTTTTTTTCTCTCTTTCTTTCTGATTTAAGTACAGAAACAAAGAAACAAGAAATTATGTTTTGAATTTGCTTCAAGCAACTAGTGAGCTTCTAAGAGAAACTGATATGAATTAGGTGGTATGTCAGAAAGTTATCAATTTTAAGTTGAAAAAGTAATTGCACAGCATAATTCACACAACCAGTTCTAAGTTGAATCACAAAAGTCCCCAATTTTAATAAACATCAATTTGATATCACAGGAGTAAAATCTAAATCTCCATGGAAAAATAACAAAAACACTAACTTGAAAAGGAATAAATAAACAAAAGATGAGGAAAGAAAGGAGCTGACCTGAGGAGTAAACATCAAAGGGGAGTGAGTGGCCCTAGGGCTATGAGGAGGCGATTGACCCATCAACTCAGACGACCCATCACCGCCACCACTAACACCACGGCCATGGGCATGACCCTCCTGCACGCTCCCACCACCACTCTCTTCCTCAGCCGCTGATGGGCTTCCACCCCCATCTTCTCTCCCATTCACATTCCCCATTTCGATTGTTTCGATATCACCACCACCAAGCACCAACCCTCAAAAACAAAATTACAGATGCATACCCACTTTGCAGAATTGGAATCCAATCTCATATGATGAAAACTTAAATCCACAAAGCACGAAAATTTGATTGATTGGGCGTCAAAACTCGAAAAAAAAGCCCAACAGAGAAAAACCCGTTTTATATATAGGGAGAGAGAGAGAGAGAGAGAGAGAGATTATTAGATTAAGAAGCACTAAGCAACAACAAAGAAAGGGAGGGGGCAGATGGAAAGAAGAAAGTGAAAAAACAAGGGTAAGTAATTAATTGATTGATGAGTAATAATAATAAACAATAATAAATAAAAAAGAGGTTGTAATCTCCGATGAGTTTGGAAGATCGAATGGTAACCCAATGATGTTGTTGGTTTAATGGGGATGCTCTTCACGTCATCGTATTGACAAAGTCTCTTTTTTGCCTTTTAAGTCCTTTCTCTTCCCCTCCACAACCCACAAACTCTACAACCCTACAACCCACAAGGACGATGAAGGCCCTTCACTTTCAGGAGTGTGTCTTTCTTTTCCTTTCCTTTCCCTTTTACGTATATTTTTCTTTGAGTATCAATTTGTTTTTTTTAAGAATTCATTTTGTCTGTTCATTTTCTTTCCTTATTGCAAGTAGAGTGTGTCTCTCGCGTGTTAAGTAGAGTAATTTTCAATTTATGTTGTTATTATTATTATTGGAGAGGTGGGGGCGTTTTGAATTTGAGATCCCATTCACCCTTTTTTATTTTTTATTTTTGCTTGGATCCCTTTCACCTTCGAGAAGAAAATCATCATTAGATTATGAGTTACTTACGAGTTACTTGATATAAAATAAAGTAGGACAAACTACAACTACAATAGACCTCTCAAATTATTAGGTTATTTTCAAGTTTATATTCACTTTTTTTAGATATTTACAAGTACATACTCAAAATCACGAAAACCTTATAAATTACCCTTTCCATTACCTAAACCGTTCATGACTTTGTTAAATACTAATGTGACAGTTGTAGGACTCATTTTTTAATGACACGGAATCCACATAGACAAAACAAATAATGTAGGCAATTAAATACTTGTTTAAAAGTAGAGAGAGAGGGTTGGGCCTCGGTTGGATTGGGCTTTTGAAATAAGATTCATTAGGCTCCGTCAATCACCCTCTCACATACTCATTGGTCGGCAGCAGGCCTATCTATACACTACATATATTCTTAGACAAAGGCCTCCACTTCGTAAAGCGACCTGAAAAAACGGGAAAAGCGCCCACACCTTGTTTCAAGAATTTGTTTTCAGTGCGGCATTTAAGCAAACACAAAGCGAGCGAACCACACCGGCAGTCTCGTGAGTGATCAGTCTCTACTTTGTTTCCTCGCATATTTGTCCCTTCTCCACTCTTAGCACCTTGTCACTCACTTAATCTTTTCACTGTTTTTTACTTTTGTGTAACCCAACACCATTCTCTGGTTTCTCTGATCGAAATTGAACTAAATGGCAAATTTGTACTGCATTCTCTTGTTTCATTTTCGTGTTTACAATGCAATGCTGTTTGGTTTTGTCAGCTTGCTATGGTACTGCACAATTATACATGCCTACACATGGGCCGCACTGTAGATGGTCTTTTTTGTTTTCTTTGATAGTAGCACTGCAGAATGCAGATGGTCTTTTTTGTTTTCTTTGATAGGAGCACTGCAGAATGCAGATGGTCTAGGCAAGCACTATCGCTGCTTTTAACTAACCAAGTTCTATTCTAGGCAGGGTTACAGTGGTGGCTGATCAATATCTTGAATGCAAGGTTTCATATTATTAAAGCAGAAATCTAATGTTGGTTGAGTACAATTGTTAATATGAGTATAATAATACCGTCACATGAACTTTTTCACTTAATGGCTTAAGCTTTTGGTTTCACATTCATTTGTTACTTACATGCTTTACTTAGCTACTTGTGGCGACTAACGGCGGAACCCTTTCTGCTTCCACCTTTTCCTCTTTACCTTAGTAGTCTCTTTGGTAGGGTGTGACCCAACAACCAAATTTGCATTCCATGCATAAGCACACTCTTATATTTCCTTAAAGGGTCATGATTGCATTCCTTACATGTTATGTTGATTTGTTAATCGTTTGTCACAATCTCGATGCTTCCCTGCATTTGTATGTGCTGTTTTGAAACTTGAAACTGAGTTTTATTGGTTTTCAGAACTTCTCAACATGCAAAGCATTAGAAATTCCATCTTGTGGCATGTGAGGGTAGGGAGTTCAGCCGAAAAATGGTTGCTCACTGAAAGAGGAATTGTGCTGAAATCTCTGAGCCGCCACATGTGTGCCGCAACAGGTACTACCAGCACTGATCAGATAATGGACCGAGTGATTGGACTCGTGAAGAAATTTGATAAAATTGATGCATCTAAGGTAGTTATTTCATTTTTACTGCTTTAGTTTAACTAATCTTCCTCTCATCTGTGCGTTTAATACTTGTATGAATTGATGGACCAGCAATTGGCCATGTTCATTACAGTACATTATGTTAAGTACTGCTAATTGTTAAACTTGGTACTGCAATTTAATTGCAGGCAACATTTACCTTGTCCTCATCCAATAACAAGAATGTTAGAAATTAACAGGCAACTTGACCTCTGAACAGGTTACTGAAACAGCTGACTTCCAGAAGGACTTAAGCCTGGATAGTTTGGACAGGGTGGAGCTTGTTATGGCCTTTGAGGAAGAATTCTCCATTGAAATCCCTGAAGAGAAAGCAGATAAGCTGACCTGCTGCGCTGATGTTGCAAGATACATAGTTTCTGGAGCTGAGCAGAAGAGTGTTTAAGTCCTGCGTAATTCCCGTAAGATGATTTCTGAAGACAAATTGTGTTTTAGAATTTTTCACTCATGTTATGAATTAATTAATTAGTCATTTTATAAAATATAAGATGTTGGTGACCTTGAGACTGATTGAGAGCACCTCTCATTTTGCAAAACTTACGGTCTTCATCTCTTGAAGTTGGCGTATATAACAAAATATGATTTCTTTTTTCAGTTTTTACATACATTATATAACTGTCATCATAGTTTCCTATAACTGTATGTACATTACATCTGATAAGTAGAATGGGTTCGAACCCCTGCATCTCAATGCTGTGACTGAAGCGCCATCCAGATGAACTGTGGTGCTGGATCCCGGTCTACTATTTAATGAGCATCTATGATGATAACATCTTAATGCATGCTTCTGATGGTTTAGAGGTCAAATGCTGGAACCTTATATTTCCGGCATTGTAAGTGCGGATACCGTTACCAACTGACGATAATTTCAGTCCCTTGTGCCTCCTGACATAAGCTGGTCTGCATTGTGTGTTCTTTGGTATTCGAACTACCCTAACCGAACATGTTTTGTGCAAGTTGGGAATTGCATGTAGATTGGAAGGAAGATCAATAATGAAATCCCCAAATTCATCTGTAAAGCCTCGTGCGAAGCTTGATTTTCTTTTTCTCCCACTAACATGGCAATTGACAGACACCAAAGCACCTGCAGATTTTGGGAAAAGAAAAAAAAAGCAGATAATGATGATGGCGATGGCGATGGTGAAGATCATTGTTACATTGACTGAACAATAATTTCGTAGTTAATTGGAATATATCCTTTTCACTTTATTTCAGCTAAATATATCCACGAATTAAAGAATATCATTAAGTGTAAAATGATGTTTTAGCTTTTCATTAAAGTCTCAGATTAAGTTTATCTTAATTATTATTATGAAGTTGATCGTGAATTGCTTTCTGTAAGGTCCAAAGTTACTGTAAGATAGAGATACAGAGAGAGAGAGGTGTGCTTCCCGTTACTCTTATTTTATATTAATATCTAGCGGAATGCTTTAATGAATTGAATTGTGCCTAAAGAAAAACAATATGTCCAAATCAAATTAGGAGATGTTAATTTTCACGGGTCCAACGTGCACATCAAAATTTGAGGTGATTGCTTAAAGGAGCAGCCATTTGCCAAGACACAATATGGAGGAACCACTACTAGAACCCAACCCACCTAAACTAATTCAAAAAAACAAAAATTAGAGTTATTATAGCATATTGCGGTAGCACGGTTATGTGGTACATCTTGTACACGTGTTATAATAAATATATGATATTGAACGTAAGTATTAATATTTAAGAAACTAAAATTGAAAAGAAATTTATAAATTGTTCACACTTTGAGCTCGGATTCAGCACATATCAATCTGAATTAAGGAAGACAGAGAGATGAAAGTGGAGTACTAATGATATTGTTGTTATAGCTGATGGTATTGCACGCAGTAATGATATTACTTTGACAAAGCGCATAACATTTGCCACAAAAATGAAGAGAGACGAAAATGGAGAAGATGATATATGTAACTAAATTATATTTATATATTTCGATTAATGATATTAATCTCAACTTAATTCAAGTAAACACGCAAAACAAAAAGAAAGAAAAGCAAGCTTTAGGAAATTAGTCTGCTATGTTCTAAATATTGATCATATCTATATGGATAGATTAGATAGATAGATATGAATATAATGGTACGTACGTATTCTTTAATTATATAATTATCAAGAGAATGAGCATTAATTAAATCCATGTAGAGAGACACAAACCTGAGAGAGGCCATGCATGAAGATGAAGTTGATGATCAGGATGATGAGTTTGAGCATACAAATTATTACAAGCCTCCTCGCAATGGACGGAGCCTGTAATTAGGACGGTGGAAAGCTTCTCTTCTCCATATCCAGCCATCTGGACCATATCTTGTTGGCTGGACATGAGTTGGTCTAATGGGTTATTGTTGTTCACTAGTACTTGATCATCAATATCGGCGGCCGAGGCCATAGAAACTGATCTGCTCAGGCTGAGGCAGCTGCATATCAACAGGTTTAGCAGAACTAGTTTGTAGATGAAATCATTCACAAGCTTGTGCCAGCCGCAAAAGTAGCTCACCATCTTCTTTTTGTGTGTTTGTGTTTGTAGCTCTCCTTCCTTTGTAATAATTTGATCATCGACCGATCCCCATGTGGTTTGTATATATAGAAAATAGAATAGATATCGAAGCCCTCGCCCTCGCTCGCATTTAAATTTCATATTGCCCTCGATCACCAGTTCATATTACGTCTCTTACGTGCATAGCTACATCCAATTTGAGTTACCATTTTGCCCTCAAAAGCTCTACAGACATATACATAAGTTATAACCTTGTGGTGTGGTGGTGTGGACATCCCGAAAGGCGTTGTTGGTCATTTTACAATGAAGACGAAACAGACCAAAAGGTAGGTCATTGATGTTAAGACGAAATGGAGGGTATATTGGTCTGAAGGATGTTATTTTAATATTGATCCAAGGCAAGGCGAAGTACAAAGGCAGAAGTTGGAGAGGTGGACGGGAAGTTAATTTGTTGGTTGGTAGCCTACTCTTATCTTGTACGTATTCTTTTGTTAATCAGATTTTGAAGGGCAAAATACACCCCGTTTACTAATATTAGTAAATTAATTAAGCAAGCAAACACACGTCTCATCAGTCATCACAACTTGGAAGTTAAGACAAGCACTCTCTCTCTCTCCCTCTCTCTCTCTCTCTCTCTCTCTCTCTCTCTCTCCAATAATAATATTTGATTCCATCTTAAACACATGATAATAATACATAGAACCTGATTAAATTATAAAATTAAGGAATTAATTGTATGTTAACATGGCAATTTTTCTCTTTGGGTGGGTAAACCCCACTTACACTTACTTCGCAACAGCATGAGTCACATGACAGGTGGCACTTATGAAATTGGCTATCTATCTATTTATATCCAACAAATAGATAGATAGATAGAACTTCTATTTGGCCTAAACTTACATTGTTGGGAAACTGAAATTGTCATTTGCAGGTTATCGTTGAACAACCTTCCCAAATTCCAACTGACTTCATTTGCTAAAACAAGTAACCTAAGAATACAAAAGAATCTTAATGAGTTTCACATTTTGCCTCTCTCTTGGTTTGGCAAAAATATTATTATTGTGGAATCCCCGCTGATATCAAAGGTTGCGTAAATTGTAGAAATTCGGGGAGTCTAAGAAACATATATACATACATGAAATGTATGAGTCTCGTACATCAAATGATGGTCCTAAGACTTTGAAAACCCATAATTGTTTGATATTTTTGGTTGAGAATACAAAGGATGGCATTTTAACGATTCTTGAAAAAGACCCCTCTATTCTGTATTTTGCATAAAGTAATAATGTTCTTTCTATTGGTGTTCATGAGAATTAGACAGCTGATTAATTTCTGTTTAATACGAATTGTTTTCGCAGGCATCGAGTCATATATATAAATTGCAAATTTAGTGACATCCCATCCCGTTAATTTGTGTGTGGGTGTTTTGTGCAGTGAGGAGCAAGCCATAGCCAGGAGAGACAATTTAATATGCAATATGCTTTGTGATGGCTAACCGAAAATTAACAATGGTGATTAGGACATAAAATTTGGGGGACGACTAGCTAACTATTATTGATTTAAAAGGTAAAGAGCCATAAATTATAAGTAAGACATGACATTGTGGTCCACTTTGGTTTACAATTTAATCATACCTTTAATTAATACTGTCTTCTCAAAGAAATAAATTATACGGTTAATTAATACTGATGGGATCCTGATTGATTAGTATAATATAAAGGGAGCAGAGAAGAAGCATCAGCATAAATAAATTATAAATGCAGGCCAGGCTGCTTCGAGTTTCAGCTTTAAAAGAAAACTGCAACCTGCAGATGTCACTAAGAAATTAATGGATGGATTGGGTACCAAGACATCCCTGCACTGCACCTGCACCTGCAGAGATCAAGTTCTTTACAAGATCAAAATTACAAGTTCTCACTTATGAATTTGTAAAACTCATCATGATTATGGACATGTGTGCACACACACGCGCACACACACACCCACCCCAGAAAAGGAGAGGTGCTTAAGTGGACCCCATTCTATGATTATGGTCATTCAAAAAGAGTTATCAATAAGATAGCTAGCGGGTTGTATTTCTTTATAAATACATCTATATATGAGAGAAGGATAAAAGATATGAGCATAATTAAATATTTACCCCATTTTGTTGACATATACTAACATCATCAAAATTCTAAGATGGATCATCAGATCATCAGAAGAAGAGAGGGTACCGTCCAAAGTGGGCAACAACAAAGTTTAAGTGCGAGATAAATTTTATATTCTTATTTTCCTACACTCACTCACTGTGGATGGATGGTTGGTCCCATGCAATTATGAAATGAAGTTGAAATACATGCTCGGATGCTCCTCTCCTCCTCCTCCTCCTCAATCGTAAGGCTGACGAAATGAGGTCAATGCCTGCCTACACAATTGGTGAAAAAGGGAAACCCACCATCCATATCGATGGACCACATTTGTTTTGACTTCTATTACTTGTAAATATTAATATAATTCTCGTCTCTCTAATGTGGCAGTGCGGTTGGATCGGGTTTAATTAGTGCCCAAGAATCCAATTAAACAAGGCCCTGTGCCACAGCCACACACCCCTCGCGGTCGGCTTGTGCGTAAAAGTCATTGAAATTTTTAGCATCATTGTCGCATTTCTCTATATTTTATTATAACACGTGGTATACATTACGTGATGATATAATCGTCATACTAACTCTTTCATAATCGAGTTTGAGTACAAAGTGAGTGTAAAAATCTTATCACGATAAATGAACGGTCCGAGACCATTCCACATATCAGAGACCGAGCAATATAATCCCTCAAGATCCCAGCTTAACTAGGAGAAAAAGCAGTCCAACCCCTCCAAGAGGAGGGCAGAGCATTAGCAAAATTGAATTTAGCATATAAAACTTCCTTTGCTATAACTCTGAATACATCTAGAATTCACATTCATTAATTCATTTTTAAATGAATCAGTTACTGTTTTCAATTGAAAAACCCTTCCCTATATCATATAGATATATATCGCTGACTCGGACAACGACTCGGGAGCAGGAGGAGCAGGAGGAGAAACGAATTACACAACATCATCCTCAGCGAGAAAGCACGACAGGTTTTTACCGGTTGCAAACGTGAGCAGGATGATGAAGAAAGGTTTGCCAGGCAACGCCAAGATTTCAAAAGACGCTAAAGAGACGGTGCAGGAGTGTGTCTCAGAGTTCATCAGCTTCACCACGGGAGAGGCCTCAGGTAAGTGCCGGAGAGAGAAGAGGAAGACAATCAACGTTGACGATCTATTGTGGGCCATGACGACGCTGGGTTTTAAGGAATACGTGGAGCCTCTCAAGATTTATTTGCACAAGTTCAGAGAGATATGGAGGATGAGAAGACTGCTGGAACAGGAATGGCTAGGCAGCTGCTGTACGCTGATCATCATCCTCATGAATATCATGATCAAAGGCAGAGGGAGCAGTTGCAGCACCTGCATGCACCTGGGATGAACATGTATGGTGGGATGATGATGGGTCATCAACATCATCATCATCATCAAGGTCAAGGGCATCATCCTTATCTTTATGGATCTGGTAGTGGACCCTCTAGTCTATAAGGCATGGAGACCAAGGTAGGGTTTGACTGTTTGGATATCCATACCATACTGTATGGTATTAGCTAACTGGGCGTTTTCTAGTTCCGCGCTTCTATATGTGTACTGCGTGCGGATAAGGTTGGTCTATTGCTTCTTATTAATTTGCGTCTGAAATATAAATATTAATGGATTATATGAGGAGAGGCGTACAAGATGACTGCAATTTCCAAATTTTGGAATAACATATGTTGTATTCTTTTTTAGATGCGAAAGGTAAGTAAGCATTATTTTCTATATGTTTTTGGATCAAACGTTCGTATTCATCGTGTTTTTTTTTTTCGGGGCACAATGAATGAATTGGTGTTAGGACTTGGGAGGGAGACGTTCCAGTATTTAGTGCAGCGGAGCCTATTGGTTTATAAATGGAAATTTGAAACTATTCAACCAACCGGCCTATTAGCTCAGCTGGTTAGAGCGTCGTGCTAATAACGCGAAGGTCGCAGGTTCGAGACCTGCATGGGCCATTGGGTTAGCTATTTTTAATGTTTTCAGTCCTCACCACAATACTGTCTTACATACTTATCGTCGGTATATTCTCGCAAACACAACAGAAAAACTTCACAAATAACTAGGATCAGACAGAAGAAAATGCAAATATTTATTTTTGGTGGTTGGTTAATAAACCATGGTTCTCTTCAAATGTTGGTTGCTACAATGCAAAGAAGTTCTGATTGTATTATGATCAGTTTTTTTTTTTTTTTTTTTTTTTTTTTTTTTGATCTGAACTGATCAGTATCTTTAGAAAGATGAAAGACACAAATAGTTTAATAATTTGGGTTGGATTAAAAAAAAAAAACAAATAAAAAAAAAAAAACTCTCGTTGCTAGAGTAGAATTTCAAGGGCTGATGATCAACCTCTGCTGTCTCTCTTGGTTGCTTTACCATTCAAGTACAAGTAGCTCATCTTCTGATCAGAAAAACTCATTGTAGGTACTGGAGAAAATCCAGAATACTGCCCATCGATCTTCGCTTTGCATATGTCATTGATGTTGTTTAGAAGCTCGTTTTTCTGGACAAATGGTTGGGCTGCATATTCCTCAAATGCCATCCACTGTAAGCCATTGCAAACAAGTGTGTCAATATAGAATAAACTTCAAGAACTTTACACGGGAAAACAGGAAAGAAAATTATCACAAGGACTTGAAGACCTATACACATTTTGGATTCTTAACTAAATGACTTTCTGGCAATTCCTCCTATTCGTATTACCATCCCTTAACCAAAAATTACCTGAGCTGCTTCTATCTCTTGATCATGCTTTTGGATGTCAAAGGAGAGGGGTTGCATCATGCACACAAAAAATAAATCTGACTTCTCAAAAAATGACTTGTGGCTTTGTCTGCGAATTATAAGAATAAGGTATGAAGAATATACTTTTTTCCGAATAGCTAAAATAACAAAAAAGTAAACATCAGAAAATGAGCAATATGAGAACCATACAATAAACTTGGGAGAAAAGGAACAAGAATTCAAGTTTCTAACTTAATGCAGTCAAGAACATTCAGAAGTCTTTAAACCCAACAATATTCAAGGAAGCATGGTGCCAGGGCCTAATGTATAAAATGTGTTAAAACTTGGTTGTCATGTTAGTTTCATGATTATACAAATGAAGTCCTATATGATTGCGAGTCATTCTATAGAACTGTCATATTTTAGTTCATGAATCTGCAAGTGCCTCAACTCGATTTACAGTCTTGAACCCGAGGTTAAGTTTATACTAAAATAGTTTATCTTAAGCAAACATCATATATACCTGAATGCTAGAATTTCCACAAACTCCGAGTCAATCTGAAACCACAGAAAATCCAGAAGCATGAAGAAAGAATACTCATTTAAATTGATGAAGTGTAACTGCATTGCATAGTATCAACTTACTCCCGTTTCTTCTTTGACTTCTCTCACAGCGGCTGCACAAATATCTTCTCCCTAGAGAAGATAAAGTTTAATACATTGGTTAGACTTGAAGTACACTACATTGCATTGAAAAAAAAAACCAATACCTCCTGGAATGCACACACACCTCATCTACAACTCCCGTAGGAAACTTCCATACACCTGTCCCCCGTAACAGTCCACTCTTTTCTTGGACTACTAGCACCTGCCATTGAACGTTTACAAACCCAAAAACTTCAGCCATTATAGCAGAGTCAAAGAAAACAACAAATGTAGTGAAAAGTCCAAAGCATTGCAGGTGCATATGGAGCCCTTCTGAAACTGATCATCTCAGAAACAAAATAAAATGGATGTCAAATAGCTTGAGAATCAGTAAGGCAATATTAGGACTAAGAGAAAATGCCTTCTTTAAGCCCCTGCCAAATGCAATATTAAAGACTAGCTCACGCCTACTGACTCAGCTGAACTATAGTAAATCTGAAACAATTAGAACCGCACAATCCAAAAATGTTGTTTTTGAAACGAGTTTCAGGAATTTATATGAAGAAAAACACTTGAAATTGAGATGAAGAGGATAAAACGATGAAATGATAAATGGTGGCCCGGGTAGCAGAGTTAAGTTATCCATATACCTCTCTGTTAGGGTTGATGACAAATGCGCCAATTCCTACTCGGTGGGTGGCATTAGCAGGAAGGGTATGAGGGGTCTGAGGAATCCAATACACCAGCATCAAATAATCAGGCTCCGCATGGTGGTACCAGAATCCTTCCTGCATTTGTAATCCGTTCCTGCCCAACATCCATTAACTACTTCTTGTTGTATGATAACATTTTTTAAATAATTAACCATTAATCATAGAATTTAATTGACCTTCACCGCTGCTTCGACAAGATTGACTCGATCTAAAGGCAACTTGATCCAAACACCCTTCTTGCCCTGCACGGTTGCATCCACACCCACAATATAAAAGCATAACTCAACAAATGAATCTACTTACCGGGGAAGAAATTTGAGATTGAAGTTGATTAGAATTCTTCATAATCATCCTATTGATATTTAGATGGCATTACCTGTAGCTTCCAATGCGCAATTGAAGAGGTAATAAGAGAAAGGAAGGTAGCAGGGTCCATAGGCTCATTGATGTGGACGATCACGCCGCCGTACGGGTCATTGGTACCGACCAGTCGCTTTGCCTCACTTTCGGTACTCACACTTGTTTCACTTTCTCCGGCCATCTATGGTGTTGGTTCGACGTCAATGATGATAATGAAGAAGATGAACACACGCCACCCGGGGTCACTGTTTGATCAGTAATTGTATTAACAACATTGGTTTAAGTGTTGAGTAATGCTACACTTACCACATTATTATCCCGTATTTCTATACCACATGACGTGGCATATGTCACATTAATTAAATGAATGAAGTGTATTTTAATAAATAAAATTAGAAAAATAAAAATTAGTATTTTATATGATGTGATATATACATATCATCTGCTACATCACGTGGTATAAAATTATAATATAAAAAATATGGTAAAACTAGTATTATTCTTAAGTGTAACAAAAATAACACAATATCATGAGAGAAAAAGTCCAAAAGAAAAAGTTAAGAAAAAGGTTGCTAGCATCCCCTTGTGTTTAATAACTAATGACCTTCTTATCTCTTTAGTATTAATGTCTACATTAATTTTTATTTTATTTTATAAAAACATATGCATTTTATAGACGCATGGGCGGGCGGGCGGTCGCTATGGGCCGTTCGTTGCGGGCCTGTTTTGCTTCCAGAGTTTTGCCTTTTGACTTAAAGTATGTGAATTAGCATTACAGAAAGAAAAATAAAAAATAAAAAATCTTCCATCCTGTGAGTAATTTTATTAATACAAACTTTTCCTGAAGAGATTTGCAATTTCTTTTCTTTTGTTTTTCTTTTTGGTCATTTAACTATGACTCTCTTTAAATATTCTCATTGGAACTGAGATTTATACAGCCCTGATCATCAGAGTTTACTCTCTCTCCTGGGTGCCGTGCTAGTATTCAAGTACAAGTTGCTCTTCTGAACAGAATAACTTGTAGAGGGCACTGGAGAAAATCCAGTATACTTCCCATCCATCTTTGCTTTGCATATGTCATGGATGTACTTCAGAAGCTCGTATTTCTGGACAAATGGTTGAGCTGCATATTCCTCAAATGGCATCCACTGCGAGCCAAGCCATTACAATCCACAAACAGGTTTAGAATCATACGGAGGGATGATTTTCCCTTATTCTCATCCAAGATTTATGCAGCAGTCATTCTAGATTGTTAACTGAGTGAGTTTTTGAAAAATCTTCTAAAGTGAAAGGGTGATTTAATATCTTGTCAAGATAAAAGCAAAGTTCGTTCGTATTACCCCCCTTCAACCAAAAATTACCTTGGCCGCTTCTATCTCTTGTTCCTGCTTCTGGATGTCAAAGGAGAGGGGTCGTAACATGCACACAAAAAATAAATCTGACTTCTGAAAGAACGACTTGTGACTTTGTCTGCAAATTATATGAACATTAACAAGTATAAATTTCCATAAAAGGGAAGGAAAAAGAAGAAGAACCAAGAAGTAAACATCAGAAATAGTTGATGAGAAACGCCATAGAACTTCCACAAACTCTGAGTCAATCTGAAACAACAGGAAAACCAGAAGCATGAATGAAAATGGCATTGATAAGCTAATATTTACACTTACTCAAATTAATGAACGCGTAATTCAATCGTAAGTTGGTACCTACTTACTCCTGTTTCTTCTTTGACTTCTGTAACAGCAGCTGCAAAGATATCTTCTCCCTGGAGGGGATAAAGTTCAATATATGGTTTAGACTAGACTACACTCTGAAGCTCTGAGAGAATAAAAACCAATGCAACTCCAGTAGGGAGCTTCCACACTCGTGTCCCTCGATACTGTCCACCCTTTTCTTGGACTACTAGCACCTAGCATTGAAATTTGGCAAAGCCAAGACAGAAACATCATGGAAAACATTGAATGGTCTCAAGCATTGTAACGGTCAACTGAACATTAAAATAAATGGATCACACAAAACTTTTTAGACATTATAAGCCAATCGCAGGAGTATGAAAGTCCAGATAATCAGAATAAAACTTTTTAGACTTTTACCCTGTCTGCCATAAACCCGCTTACTCAGCTGAACTGTTCTAGGGAGGGAAGGAACATAAACACACGCGCACACACAAATGAAGAGTGCAAGAAGTGAAAACTGTAAATTGATAGTTAAGGTGAAGCAGCAAGGGCTTAGGGCTAAATGTAGAGGCTAATTAGACAAGAATGGCTCCGCATGGTGGTACCAGAATCCTTTCTGCAATTGCAATTCACTCCTGCCCAACATATAGTAAGTAGTGTGCATGTTTATACACTATAATACTAGGATAGGATAGGAGAATCCTTTCTACTAGAGCAAGAAGAAGAATAATAACAAAAGCATAAATACTCGAAGCTTGACCTTGACTGCAGCTTCTACAAGATCTTACTATGACTAATGAGGAGGAAAAGAAATGGCCATTATTGATAAATTTTTTTATAAAAATAAAGCATTTCTATAGACACGTGGGCTGCGGGCGCTGGGCTGTGAATTGTCGACGGGCAGGCGCGCACGCAGTGGGCACGTGAGCTGCTCTGACAAAATGAGTACCTCCGTAAATTCAAATTTTAAAAGCCTTTTACCTTTATTTTACTTTCCATTTACCAAAACTCGTTTCATTTTCACCCACTCTCAACCCAAACCCCTCAAACGCCGCTGTTACCTTCCCCAACCTTACCTTTTTCTTTTTTCTTTTTTTTTAATAAATAAATATATAAAAGCAATTTTAATCTTTTTTACCGTTGTCGTCCACCGGAGACTTGGGGGTTATGGAGGCGTTGACCGCCGACCGGCACATACCAAACACAGCCGCCTTTCCAGAGCAGATAGCCCCATTCCCTGAGAGCACAGACCAGCACCTTCTCTTCGCCAATCCAACGGCTGTGGTTCACTCGCCGCCCCAGAAGCTCCGTCCTATCAGGTGCAGCAGCGGCAGGTGTCCTGCAATCGAGCTCCCGGACAGCGCAGGAAACCTAGGTGATGGGGGTCCAGCACATGTCGGGTCGGGTACGTGGGGAGACGAGGGGGAGAACGAGTCCAGGTGAGTCTTTGTTATCTTATCCTTAACCCAAGATTGTTTATTTTTTGTTTATTTTTTCATAATTTTATCAACAATAGCGGATGGATTATTGGATTAATTAGGGTGCCCATTTTGCTTACTTTTTATAATATTCTACTGTACGACTGTTTTGTACACGACATGTCGCAAGAACATGACACCATTTTTATTTTTTTATTTTTTATTTTTATTTTTGAGAAAGGACCTTTGGTTATATTAGTATCGATATCACATTGGTAATTTATCGTATTTTTGTCTGATAAAAAAGTAATTGTTGGTTTGCAATGCATATGATGGTTTCTGAGATACATTGGTTATATAGATTGTCGAGTGTTTGAGCCTTTGAGTTTGAGGTGTGGTTTGTGGCATGGCTCTTGGCCCTATGAGGTTGATGATTAGAGTATTCTTTTTTCCTTTTTCATAATCATAAGTTGGTTGGTATCGTAACGTTTAATTTTTAACAGAGTGTTGTCTATTTTGTAATCAGTTCGTCACCAGATGATGATGGTGATGAGTATTTAAAAACAGAAGGTACAGAACGCATGAAGCGGAAGAGAAAGAGAAGATCGAGGACGGGAGGAAGGCTTGAAAGGGTTGAGATTTTTCTGGAAAGTCTGGTAATGAAAGTGATGGAGAAGCAAGAGCAGATGCATAAGCAGTTGATAGAAATGATAGAAAATAGGGAGAAAGAAAGAATAGCAAGAGAAGAAGCCTGGAAGCAGCAGGAGTTAGACAGAATGAAAAGGGATGAGGAGATAAGAGCCCAAGAGACATCTCGTAGCCTTACACTCATTTCCTTTATCCAGAATTTTTTGGGCCATGAAATTCAAGTCCCCAAACCAGCACCACCACCACCACCACCACCACCAATATCAGTAGTACCTAATTATGATCATCGATGCATGGACGAAAATGGGGGTGCAGACAGTGGCATTGAGAGAGACATGATGGTGATGATCAAGTGTGATCAAACTAATAGAAGATGGCCAGAAGCTGAAGTGCAATCCCTGATAACGCTGCGGGCTGGTTTGGAACACAAGTTTCGCATTGCGGGTAATTCCAAAGGACCCATATGGGAGGAGATATCTCTTGGTATGTATGATATGGGCTACAACCGCTCAGCAAGGAAGTGTAAAGAGAAATGGGAAAACATCAACAAGTATTTCAAGAGGTCCATGGGAACTGACAAGAAGCGTTCTGCAAATGCTAAGACTTGCCCATATTTTCACGAATTAGAGTTGCTCCATAAAAGTGGACTTGTAAGTTCAGAGGATGGTTTTAAATGCACAAGCAACCAGAACGAGGCTAAGATTGAAAAACAGGACAACAGTGAAAAAGGAGTAACAGAGTGATATCAGAGATTCAAGTGAAGCTTCTGAGAGAGAGAGAGAGAGAGAGAGAGAGAGAGATAACTGGATACATGAATGGGTCTTTGATGGCTAAATGATTATTATTTGAGCAGAAGAGGAGATTGGCATCTTGTTTGAAGCTTTGGTTGTATCTTGTTTGAACTTTATATCCATGACAGTTAACAAGTGCATTAGCATGGTTTGTTGTGCTATTAGAAATGCTTTGTTGGAAATTGATGATGGAATTGCAAAATTACAAAATGAGGCAAATTGAGTTATATGCTTGTTTCTGTTTGTATATAGCGCTGGTGGCATTAGCGGCAAAGGATTAAATTCAACTAATCAAACAACATTTATAATAGAATTAGATCCCCGAAGACGCTTTGTGCATGCACATCCACAACACATGGTGGTTAGTTTTTTTTACTTAATTTTGAGGTTAATTTGGTATATACGAAATGAATATAATCCAACGGCAATGGAATCTATTATCTAACCAAGGGAATCTCTGGTGTGACAAGTTACATATGTGACCAGACCAGACAACCCTGTGTGATATGATTCTAAGATATAATAGAGACAACACAATTGAAAGAGAAAGAAAAAGAAAACGAAAAACAAAGAACACAGAAGATAAAGCATTAATTCCTTCCTCCATTATTGAATTTGAAACGGCAAAACAATCATAATAGATTGCTGCTTATTACATGATATTGGATATTATAATAGTACTGAGGAAGAAGAAAAAGAACACTGACATCACTTGGTTGCATGATTGAGGAATGCCCAGATTGCTCCTAGAACAACAGGGAAGACCAGGAGCACAGGAAAGGAGGGCGGATGAACAGGACCCATCGCCAAAGGCAGAAAGAAGATGATGGCAACCACCACCAAAAACAGCAAAACTGTAGCAGTGCCTTGATCCATCTTCTTCAAATGTGTTATGTGTTGGCAACAACAAAGCACAACCTCGCACAAACACCAAACTTCTTGTAAAATAATATCAATCAATGGAAATGGTGATGGTGGTGCTGGTGTTCTATGGGGTATCGTGTGGTATATATAATGCTCATGGTGTCTCTCTGGGTAGAGGTACAACCGTTGGGAAAGGATCCATGCATGAATGCATGCAATTTGCAAATGCAATGCAACAGAGAGAATCGGTGCCTGCGATGGGGTGCATCGTATAACTTAATCAGGCCCTCAAGTCTGATGGTTGACGAAACGAGACGACGCCTTCTTTTCTTTCGCGAAATTAAAATCGCATGCATACATGATACATGCATTTCTCGTCTTATTGGGCTGATGGGTAAAAATTAAATAAGCCCATTACCATTTTAAATTTAGGTCAAACTTTGAAAGGCCCACTTTGTGAAAGCATTGACCTATGACTGCCGGTAACTTTGTGCTGTCCAACCGTGAAGAGGGAAGACCCATTTATTTATTACCCTTTAATACTTTAATTTAATCCTTCAACTCGCTGTTGCCACGTGGTTGTTACTTTTGAGCACTATAAATTTGGACCCTTGCCAAGTAGCAGCGTCTTCTTCTAATTCACTTGAGTTTCAAATCAAAATATCTGTTGGTGAGAGAGAGAGAGAGAGAGAGAGAGAGAGGGGCAGAGGCAGAGATCTCAGGGAAATGGAACGAGGAGGAGGAGGTTTCCATGGCTACCAAAAGACTAGCTCTGGTAACTGCTAAACCACACTGATCTCTACATTAATTCTTTCTTATTTAAACTAATGGTCGTCCTTTCGCAATTGGGTTGCGCATTTCCTACATTAATTCTTCTTATTAATTTTGGGGTTGCTTTCTTGCATTGCATGCAAGAAGCATAAACTTTCTTATGTCATATATATATATATATATATATGTATCATCGTTCTCCCTTGCAAGTTGCATGCATGTAGTCTGTTGATTAGATTCATATCTATGATGGTTTAATTAAAGCTGTCTTTTATAACTCTTACAAGGTGTTAATTTTAGTTCGATCTTGAGTCTTGATTCGCTTGATGCATTTGTTTCTCATTCAATATTAACCATCTCTTTGGTCGAGGAGGGGAAAACAAAAATACAGGCCTGTCTGTCCAAGCCTCTGCCCTTCTACCAAGCACTCTTTGTGGGAAAGGTCTTAGTACTTTGCACAATATATATGTATATCTAGGACTAGACCAAACTCTTTTACTTTATGATTTCATTTCTTTTAAACAACATGCAGACATTCTCTCTCTAGATCTGTCTAGATCGCTCAATATTATCTATTTCTGCTTCACAGTGCACACACACACATATGATGATATCCTTGGCATTGTTGATTGAGGGGCCGGGCAGGAAGATGCGTGAAACTTAGATGGAGGGAGGGTATATAGCTAGCGTGTAGGAGATGGAGATATGTAGCTTAGCTAAGTAGGTAGTACTCAAGCAGTGCAAGAGAAAATGGCTGATGATGATGAAACTGATAGAACTCTGTTTACAAGTGGCAAGCATCTTTCATGCAATCTTTGACCCCACATGAAACAAGTGGCCTCCATGCAATGCATTCTCACACATCCAGGGCCCACTCTTTTCCATCTGTCCGCTTTCATCTTGCTCTTCTTAACTGCATGTATATTGCAGCCGTTTCTTTGAGCTAGCTAGCCTTTTTTATATGGACTATATACATATATATGTGCAGGCTTTGTCTCAACAAGTTGCCAGCCAGCTAGCCCATTGGTCCATCATCAAGAAACACAGTCCTCCTTCCCAGCTTGTTTCAAGTCCCAAAATGAAAAAGGAATTAAGAAAATGAAAAACCTTTCTAAATGTTCCGTCCGATGAGTTGAGTTTAAATTGATGCACGAAAGACAAAACCAAAACCATAGATTTCTACATGTGGATTTGATTTATTAATTAATTGGCATATTCTTTAGGCTAAAGCAAAATTCCAAAGACCATTTGGTTTACATTGGGACCGGCTCACATGATAAGTCCACAAAACACCCCCCCCCCCCCCCCCCCCCCAAGCCCTTGCTTGCAATTTTTATGTACCTTATTAGTAGATTCAAATGCATGATATGTATATATATGTATATGTTTGTATTAGATTTATAGATTATATGTGAGTGGGTGGGTGCAGGGTTGAAACTATCAGAGATCAACATGAGGCTGGCAGAGATGAATCAATTCGGCATGCAGCAGGGGGGGAAGAGTACTAGCTCCTCTACCACCAATATCAATATCAATAATGTTGTTAGCAACAACAACAACAACGTTAACCACTCCACCAGTAGTAATGGTACTACTACTACTACTGATGATAACGAATGCGTGGTGAGAGAGCAAGACCGCTTCATGCCAATAGCCAATGTGATCAGAATCATGCGCAAGATCCTTCCCCCGCATGCCAAGATCTCAGACGACGCCAAGGAAACCATCCAGGAGTGTGTCTCCGAGTACATCAGCTTCATCACTGGGGAGGCCAACGAGCGCTGCCAGCGCGAGCAGCGCAAGACCATCACTGCTGAAGACGTCCTCTGGGCCATGAGCAAGCTCGGCTTCGACGACTACATTGAGCCCCTCACCCTCTATCTCCACCGCTACCGCGAGATGGAGGGGGAGCGTGGCTGTGGCTCCTCCACCACCTCCGTCATGAGAAGCGATACCTCAGTGAAGGGTGCTGCTAGCAGCAGTAGCAGGGCAATAGATCATCACCAGTACTATGCTGCTGCTGCTGCGGCGGCTGCTTTTCATCATCACCATGGCCATGCCTTTTTTGGATACTTAAAGCCATCCGATGCCTCCACCTCCACCAATAATAATATCAATGCTGCTGCTGCTGCCGCCGCCATGGCCCCTCTGCCAAATGGTGATCACCACCAGCCACATGCAAATGATCGAGCTTAAGTGAAATGTAATACTTCCTAGCTACCTAGGTCTAGGTCGTTCCATCGAGTAGTACTGGTTTTATTTGAGTCGCTAAGTCGTAGTGCAGTAAAATTATAACCAAAAAAAGTACTGTGTGCATGCGTAGTAAAATTAAGGGCGCAGTTTTCCTTGCGTTGGGGATGCTTTTGCTTAATCGACGTCGACGCTTTCATATCACATTCATTGCCAACTTCCGCGGCTCATTTTCCCTTTGGAAAGCAAAGAAAAAAAACAGAACAAAAAAATTATGCGAAAAATTTAATACTAGCTCCCAGCGAGGATCGAACTCGCGACCTTTCGCTTACGAAGCGAACGCACTACCACTATGCTATGGAAGCCAGTTGGCAGATTTTGAAAACAATTTAACTTTATACGCGTGTGTTTGTTTGAGTTCTTTTACCTAAAAGGGTATATGCGGATTTAGGTTCTTCAACTAAATTAAATAATTACAAAAGTAAAAAGAGTTCCACATTTAGCATAAATTCACAGAGGCAGTGGATCTATATATAGCAAAAATAAAAAATTGTTGAAACATTTAAAATACTATAAAATGTCATTGGTTAATAAGGATAATATTTTTTTATTTTTTATATTAAAAAATTTAAATTTTTAAAAAAAAATCAGATAATAAGTCATGTTTTTATAGAATACAACTACCCATTTTATATTTCTTAATTAAATAAAAAATTAAAAAAATCAATTAACACACGCATGCCTAATGGGCTAGTTAGCACTAAGCTATTGTGGATGGCTGATAAGCACACCCACAATAGCTTAGGTGATATTTGTGCTAAATTTCCAAATTCAAATATTACCGCCAACTAATCTTATATATATATATATATATATTAGTATAAGTGATAGTTTAAACTATAAGGGAGAGAGTTTCTCACACATGCACACACCTAAGATATTATGGCCCTATAGGGGTTCGAATTTGAAACCTTTAGTATACAAGTTAAGGCCCTTTCCATTGAGATATACCTCATTGACCAGCCAGTTGCCCATATTAAAAATTAAACAAATCAAATAAAGCATCAATTACATTTTGTATGATAAATTTGATCTCATTGAAAATTTTTAAAACTAAAGAAAGTGTTAATACGTTTTTCTAACGGAAAGGTATGATATTTTGATGCAAACAATATTGGGAAGGGAGAGGACATCAAATGCATTGGTAAATGTTCTAACTATTTGCTCTAAAAGCCCCTTATAACTTAGAAATATAATTAAAAAACAAAACAAATTTTATTCTCAAATGATCATACACAAACAAAACATGGCAAGAAAATAAAATGCTATTTTATGATTGTTTTCCATACACTACCAAATATGGAAGTTGAATCTCCATTTTCCATGCACTTGGAAAAAATATTGAAATTAATTTTCTATGAATTTATTTTTGCAAACCAAAAAACACATTTTTAGGGCTTGTATATGAGTGATTCTGTATAAGCCAATAATCACTTTTATGAAAAATCACTTTAATTGGTTTTAAATGATTTATGGGGAAACACATGAGAGGTGTTTATCTGGCCCTCTAAGAATTACTCTCAAACGAACCCTTAATATCCAGTGTTGATTGGGCCTGATTACATACGGAATTGGAATAAAATTATCTAATCCCGTGTTTGTGCGGACGTAACCTTTTGGATTAGGATAAAATTACTCCGGCCCGCATGCAAATTATAGGATAATTCACCCTACTAAAACAATTTGTTGGGATTAGAGCGGATGCTTCATAGAACAAGCCCACGCCGCCATCTTCTCTCTTATTCTCGGTAAAAATTAGAACCCCACGCCTCCATCTACCCTCCTTTTCTCGGTAAAAAAAAAAGGTCGGGTTCAAAATTTAATAGAAGCTTTGGTTTAATTCCATTCTGATTTATTTGGAAATTTGTGTTTAATTTTTGTGTTTTCTTATGTTTTTGGACTAAAATATATTAGAAAGGATGCAAGCGGAAGAGAAGAATGCTGCAGAGATGTTACCAGTAAGAATTTCGCGGAGTCAGATAGGTAGGCATTCTATTCGATGGACGTACTCTGTTCTGATTTGAGTCTTTATCCATGCAGATGATTGTGGAGAATCCTCCTGCAAGCAATGCATTTCATGACACTGAAGAGAAGAAGTTTGTTGCTGATATCCCTGTGTCGTGCTTTACTTATCTTGCTTTGTTTTGTATGCTACAATGGAACAATCATTTGTGCTTTTTCATATATGTTCAGAAATTCTTCAGAAAAAACAAGTAAAAAAACATGGAATACGATCACAATGCCCATTCGTGTGTTAGACCCTTGGAATATGAGAGATTACGACAACGACAAGGTAAGAAATTTGCTGAATCAAATTTGTTTACGGCTACACATTCAGTGGATACACTCTGTTCTAATTTGAGCCTCCATGCATGTGATTGTTGAGAAGCTTGGGATTCCGAGGTCTGATTCTCCTGGCACGGTCATTAGGAAGTTAGTTGCCAACCCAATTCCCTTGTGCTTTAATTATCTTATCTTGATTTGCTTTTCTACAATGTAGTAGGATGATTATTTTTTTCATGTATGCTTTTGATATGTTCAGGAATCCAATGAGGAGATACAAATACAATACTTGTATAGAAGCTGGGCAATTGAGGAAAAAGTGTCCAAATCATATACCAGTAATAATTTCACCTCATCAAATATGCTTCCTTCCTATCATTCCGTGGATGTAATCTATTATAATTTGAGCTTCCCTGCAGGTGACTGTGGAGAAGGATACAAGGAGTGACATTCCTGACATTGACACTAAGAAGTTAGTTTCCAGTTCCTTTTTTTCTTATTTATTATTATCTTGATTTATATTGCTATAATGGAATAGGATTGTTCCCTTTCATTTATGCTTTTTATATATGTTCTGATGATTTCCATCAGGAAAACGGGAAAGAAAAAGAAAGGAAATATGTACAGAAATCCCAATACATTAGATGAAGTTCTAGGAGTGGTCCTGCTTATCATGGTTTGCATGAATTGGTTACCTAAGTATCAAGGGCGTCCAAGCAACTAGTTTTTATAGTTCATATTAGTATGTAAGATCTGAATACAGAAAGGGAACCGTACTTATGATTGCAAAGACAAAGTGCAAGTTTATTTGTGTTCATAGCTTGTCTTAAATGAAGGGGTTAACACATAGCTTTATTGCCTATCCTGTTTTTGTGACTGCAGATATCAATTCCATGTTGATACTCCTCTTGGAGAATTTGTTTATGCTATTCGGTTAATCATTGGGCTCAGCAAAAAAAAGCCGATATTTGTCTTTTTCAAAAACACTGAACCTCCCGCTTGTGAGTTGCAACTCATTTTGATTATAGGCATAATATCTTGTTCCCAAAGCTATGGTTCTAATAATTCTTCCAATGATACAGGTGCCTTGATGTCTGCAATCGATGAGGAAAATAAGGATGAAGATGGATTTCTTCACATGACCTACAGTGGAGAAGAGAAAAACGTAAACGGTGTGTTTATTTATTTTTCTTCTTTGTGATAAGAACGTCTCTGTAGTTTAAAGTTTATTTCAAAATTTCATTGATGCAGGTTTGATAGTTACTGATTATATTTTTTTGGAAGAGAATTTCTTGTCATACTTGTTTGAAGTTGTTATTGAATTTCTGGGTAAGAGAATTTCGTATGCGGTTGTGATGTTTCATTGTTTGAAATTTGCAGAGAGCAGTCGTAGTGGGAGTTTTGAATTGGTTGGAAGCTGTTCCAAGCTTGACAATCAACTTGGTTTGTTTTTACTTTTTTTATTTTTGGGTTCATTGTATAGTTTATGAAATACCCATGTGCCTATTTTAGTATTGTGTCTGTGTAAATGGTCTCTGTCAAGATAAGTTCAAAATTTCATAGATTCAGGGTTGATAGTGATTATGGTTTGTTTTGGAAACGGTGATTACCTTTTGTCTTAGTTTTCTTTCTCATATGTTTTCTTATGATGTTTTTGCGCTAATATATTTTAGAAAGGACGCAAGCAGAAGAGAACAACCCAGATCTAATACCGGTAAGAATTTCAATGAATCAGATATGTATACTTCCTAATCATTCAGTAGGCATATCTGTTCTAATTTGAATCTGCATGCAGATGATCGTGGAGAATACTGCTGCAAGTAGCGACATTCCTGGCATTGAAGAGCAGAAGTTTGTTGCCAATACCTTTGTGCTTTAATTATCTAGCTTTCTATTGCTACAATGGAACAAGATTATTCCCTTTTCATTTATGCTTTTGATTTATGTTCAGAAATTCGTCAGAAAAAAAAAGGAAAAAAGCATGGCCCGTTACTCTTTTAGACCCTTGGAATAGGAGAAAATTCCCTATGGTAAGATTTTCATTGATTCAAATTTGTTTATGTCACTCAGTTCTAATTTGAGCCTCCATGCATGTGAATGTGGAGAAGGCTGAGATTGAGAGGCCTGAATTTTTTGGCATGAGCAAGAGGATGACGAGGTTAGTTGCCAATTCCCTTGTGCTTTAATTATCTTGATTTGTATTGCTACAATGGCATAGGATAGCTTTCTTTTCATTTATACTTTGGATATATGTTCAGGGATTTTGTAAAGAGATTCAAAGACCGTACTTGTTTAGAAGCTGGGGAGTTGAGGGAGAAGCGTCCAAATTATGTACCCGTAATGATTTCACTGCATCAGCTATGCTTACTGCCTGTGCAATTGGTGGATATACTCTGTTCTAATTTGAGCTTCTATGCAGGTGACTGTAGAGAAGGATGCAAGGAGTGACATTCCTGATATTGACATGAAGAAGTTAGCTTCCAGTTCCCTTCTGGTTTAATTATTTTGATTTGGATTGCTATTTATAGAAGTGCTCCCTGTTCCTTTATGCTTTTGATATGTTTTGGAATCCGTCAGAAGAAGGGAAAGAAAAAGAAAGGATACATATGTACAAAAGATCCAATACTTAAGTTCTAGGGTAGCGAAGGCTTCCTACTAAGTAATTTTCGTAGTTTGTATCAGTCAATTTGCATACATCAAGGAAGACGTACTTATTACTAGAACGGCAAACTCGAAGTTCATTCGTGTTCATAGCCTGGTATTAAATGAATGGGTTCTTACATAGTTTTATTGCCTATCCTATTTTTCTGACGGCAGATTCCATGTCCATGGTGAGATGCCTCTTGGAAAATTTGTTGATTTTATTCGGTTACAGATTGAGCTTAGCATAAAGAAGCCTATATTTGTGTTTTTCAAGAACATTGAACCCCCCACTGGTGAGTTGCAATTTTATTATTTTAGGCATAATATGTTGTTCACAAAGTTGTGGTAATAATTCTTCCAATGTCAACTTACAGGTGCCTTGATGGGTGCAATTGATGAGGAAAATAAGGATGAAGATGGATTTCTTCACATAACATACAGTGGAGAAGAGAGACTCTGCGGATCCAATGGAGGGCAAGAATGCCCTTAAGTAGCATTAGAAAAAGTGCAAACTCTAGGAGCTCTGAGACTCTTCTTATCGGAAATAGTATTTAGAAAAAGTAGGTTTTGACCTGCATAGTCGTCCTTATATAGCAGTTTTATATCCTGGTATTGAATTGAGATCAATGGCCTTATTATTGTGCTGGAAGTATTTGTCTAATGGTCATTTTTTTAAAGATCAATTTCTGTCAGTGTCACTACATTACCTAATGTGGTTGGGTTTATTTCTTTGGGTTGTTACAACTCTCTGAGTTGGGGGCCAAGTTATACTTTTCTGTTGAATATTGGAGCGTAGCGTAGGTAAAGCCCCCGATCACGCACACCCACACACACATGCGTGCTAAATTGCTACAAACAAACTTGGCATGTGTCATTGGGTTGGGGGCTTTGTGACCAACTTGTGTCTTAACATTCAACTGTTGTGAATGTACAAGACCTCCCTCAAAGATCATTTCTGTAAAAAATCACTTAAATTTGAAATCATTTAACCACTCAATTAAATGGTTGTTATTATAGTATTTTCTTGAAGTAGTGTATTCGTCTACTTTTAAAAGTTCATCCTTGCAAAAAATTATGCAAATTAAAAATCATTAAGGCATCTCGATGCATACATGATGGACTTTGTCTTGATGGACTTTGTCTTCTCTAAAAGGGAAGATGGTTGAGTTTTTGACAATGCAAATGTCACATATTGTGTATATTTCTGTTTAAATACCCCCCATTGCAAAGGCGTTTAGGAATTAACTTGCGTGTGTTTATCTATCACTATATTTTCCGCATTAATTTAAACCTTACTACAAAACTAGCCTCTCTGCACACGCTTCTGCGCCTACGAGAGGTTTTTAAAAAAAAATTAACTTTTATTTTAGAATTAAAAAAGATAATGGGTAGTTGTGTTCCATAAAATTATGATTCATTATTTGATTTTTCTTTTAATTTGATTTTATTTTAATATGAAAAAATGTAAATTTACCATATTATCATCATTTAATTAATAATTTCAATTCTTAATGTTTGCATTAACTAATAACATTTTCTAGTAATTTTAATGTTCACCATTCTCTACCTTTTGCTTTATATATATGGATGAACAAAATTTAGGCTGTCATTTTAAACATGAATGTCCACTCAAACCAGATTTATTTGCCTCCTATCTATTTTCTTATGAATTAAGTCCTCTATCTCATTATCTGTTTCTCTTTTATTCTGATGGTTATGAAGATGGAATAAAATATTAAGAGGAGACAGGCAGAAGAAGATAAAAATCCAGATCCGATACCAATAACAATTTCACTAAATCCCGATGTCTACAAATCATGTACCATATACTTACCATCCCCTGAGTCAGATGAATCATAAGGTACAGGAAGGAACGAAATCAGATATATGTAATACTAATCCTTAACCACTACCTACCTCCAGTGTCAGATGATGAATCATCAGGAACAGGAACAAAATCAGATATGTACTTTCGCTAAAATAGATGTTTACTTATCCTCAACCATACTACCTTCACCGTCTGAATCATCCGGAAGAGGAAAAATATCAGAGGCATTTATCCTAACTAAACCCTGAAATATGCGGTACCATTCTACCTCCATGAGCTCTTTAGTCTTGAAGACCTTGCCCAGAAACCAAGGCACGTCACAAACATACACTAACATGTACTCTGGGGGATCAGGATAACCATTTAAGGTGTGAAGATTCAGCATATTGCGAGCTTGATCTTCCAAGTCAGACACGTCATCACAAGTACGAAGATCAACCTCATCTACAAAATGATGTATGGAGTCTGGAGTAAATCGACAAACTCCTACCATCCTAGGTAGAAACCTATCAAATGCCACTATCTTGACTAACATTTGAACAACTTGAGGCCATGGAAATGCCTCAAGTTGTTGTCTAGACAGCCTACCATTTTTGGTGATAAAATCTATCTCAAACCCATCGTTGGGATCATTAATACCATCAAGGTGATGGTTCGCCAGCAAGAGCATAACTTGCTGCCCAGTTGCAGCCACACTGTCGAATTGCACCAGATCAAGTTCTTGTACCAAATAAGAATTGTCATACGTATTTCGGTAAACTGGAACCCCTCCACCACCGCCAACTGGTTCATCGCCTCCGCCTCCATCATCATCGCTATCGACGACAATGATGTTGATGTCATCATCGCCATCGACGCCGATGACATTGATGTCATCATCGCCGTTGTTGTCATCGTTGTCATCAGAGCTATTGCTGTCAGATTCTTCAGACATCAAGGCACCTATGACATTAAAAGAATTATTACAACCACAACTTTAGGAACAAGATCGTATGCCTAAAATAAAAATGAGTTCCAACACACCAGCGGGAGGTTTAGTGTTCTTGAAAAAGACGATTAATATAGGCTTTTTTCTGCTGAGCCAAATCTGTAATTGTATAAAATCAACAAATTCCCCAAGAGGCATTTTCTCTTCACTTTCTCTTTCAATTTCTTCCCCTTTTACTTTTTGAGTTTCCTCTGAATCAGCTTGGCATCTTTTTCTTTGGGGAATAACTTGGAAGAAAGAATCCTTCCAATTCCTTGTTTCCAAAAACTTGAGTAGTAGCACCTGCGCCCAACCCACCAAAACCAAAAAAACAACAATGGTAACTCAACCTCAGTCAAACAGAGTTACAAATTAAGAATTGAGAATTAAAAGAGAGAGATTATTGATACCTGGGAAGAGGACATGTTCAGGTAGTTGGCTATGATAAGTTTTGCCTTTTGGATGCCCTGCCCCTCTGCTTTCTTCATGGTGATCCCTTTCCACTGATTCCGATCCACCAGTCGTCCAACAATGCATATATTGTTCAAACCAAGATCGTCAACCACATTTTCTGAATCATGAGTGTAATATACTAGATTTTGCTTTTCATTTTCCAAAGCTTCTATGTATGATCGATCTTGCTTCTCTATAATCCAATTATCAAAGCTCAGGAGCCTCTTCAATTGTGTAGCCATCTCTCCCTTGCACACAGTCAGCCATAGATGCCTCTTCAATTTGAGACCGTTCTCTGCAAATTTCAAATGAAACATCACAACCACATACAAAATTCTCTTACCCAGAAATTAAATAACAACTTCAAACACAAGTATGGCAAGAAATTCTTTTCCAAGTAATCCGTAACCACTATCAACCCTGCAGCTATGAAGTTTTGAAATAACTTTTAAACTGCAGAGGCCATTTTCTCACAAAGAAAGATAGATAACTACACACACAGTTTACGTCTTCGCATGGAAAAAGAAAACTTCAGCCTTATCCCAAAAAAGGGTCCACTATTTAGAACCCCTCAATTTATCAAACAAAAAAAAGTTGGATATAAAAATTCACACCAGAAAAAGAAAAGCGACTGTTATCTATCAAGCAACCTCCAATCCCAAAAGGGCAAATACTCATTACTCTGGTTGAAAAATTAAGCATCCAAAAATTACCACCAAATACTAAAACAAACCAAAATAACCACCCAAAAAGACAAAACAAGCAAAGCACCTGTAACATCAAAGAATTATTCCACAACTTCGGGAAGATATTGTGCCTAATATCTAATTGAGTAGCAACTCACCAGTCGGGGTTTTAGTGTTCTTGAAAAAGACAAATATAGGCTTCTTTATGCTGAGCCCGCTCTGTAACTGAATAAAATCAACAAATTCTCCAAGAGGCGTATTATCAGGGACATGGTATCTGCAATCAGAAAAGCAGGATAGGCAACCAGGTAGTAATAAGTACGTTCTCCTTTCTGTATGCAAGTCTTATTACTGATATGGACTAAAAAAATTACTTGGTGGGAATCTTTCGCTGCTTAGGTAATCAATTCATGCAAACCATGATAATCAGGACCACTCCTAGAACTCCAACTAATATACTCAAACGTTTTTCCCTCCACTAACTTTTTGGTAAAAGTGCTAACTCTAAATGAACAATACGCATGATTAGATCCTATCTACGTGTGTATAGTTCGCACTTACACTTTAAAATGGACAACTTACAAAATAACAACATAACATGTATTGGGTTCTCTAAATATATTTTCTTTCTTTTTCTTTCCTTTTTCTGACGGATTTCAAAACATGTATCAGAAGCATTAATGAAAAGGAAACAATCCTATTCCATTATAGCAATACAAATCAAGATAATTAAAGTAAAAGGGAATTGGAAACTAACGTCTTCATGTCAAAGTCAGGAATGTCACACCTTGCATGCCTCTCCACAATCACATGCATGAAAGCTCAAATTAGAACAGGTATATCCCACTGAATGCATAGGAAGCAAACATGATTGATGGAGTGAAATTCTTTCTAGTTCATAATTTGGATGCTTCTCCCTCAATTGCCCAGCTTCTAAACAAGCATTTGTATCTATCCATCGGATTCCTGAACACATATCAAAAGCATAAATGAAAAAATAACAATCCTATTACTTTTGTAACAATAAAAATCAAGATAATTAAAGCACAAGGGTATTCGCTACAAACTCTTCTCCTCACTGAAGTGCTTGAAATAACCCTTAATCTACATAGACCGTCTTATCACAAATAAAAATAATAATAACTACACACTGTCTATGATTTTGCATGAAAGAATTAAAATTCATCCTTTACCAAACAAGGTTCACATTTTAGAACCCCACAATTTGATTCCCTCAAGCAAAACAAGTTGGATACAAAAATTCAAACACACCAGTACACCATGATGAATATTGATATATCAAATTTGGACAACTTTTCCATTCATTCAAAAATGCAGAGTCACAATGCTCTAATTAATCATGGGAAGGGGCTTGACTTGTTGAGTCTTGAGCACACTGTTTTTTGCTTTCAAATTGATCATGTTTCTCTTCACTGTCAATTCCATTTTCTCCCCCTTTCACTTGTTGAGATTTCTCTGAATCCGCTTGGCATCTTTTTCTTTGAGGAATCACTTGGAAGAAAGAGTCCTTCCAATTCTTTGTTTCCAAAAACTTGAGTAGAATCTCTATCACTTGATTCACAGTCAGCACCTGCCCCAAAAACCCAACAAAACCAAAACCAAAAAACACAATGTCAACCCAACCTCAATCAAGCAATTGCAATTGCCGGCTATTTATTTAACAGCTATAATTGAAAATTGAAATATGTATGACCTGGGAAGAGGACATGTTTAAGTAGTTGGCTATGGGAAGCTTTGCCGTTTGAATGCCCTGCTCCTCTGCTTTCTTCATGGTGATCCCTTTCCACCGATTCCGATCCACAAGGCCCCCAACAATGTATATCTTGCTTGAATCAAGATCATCAACCACATTTTCTGAATCAGCTGTCAGATATACCAGATTTCGCTTTTCATCCTCCAAAGCTTCCATGTACGATCGATCTTCCTTCTCTATAATCCAATTATCAAACCCCGGGAGCCTCTTCAGTTGCGTACCCATCTCTCCCTTGCACCCCGTCAACCATAGATGACCCGGCTCCCTGCATCTTTTATTCACCGCGTAACAATACATAATCTGCATTCACAATTTCAATTAAACATAATTTAGAGACGAACTCTGCCGTAATTAAGAACTAATTAATTAAGAATGAAAGCAAAACAAAGCAACGCCAACCTGTTGAACGAGGCTGTTGATCTCGGCTGGGGTCATGAGGTGAGAGAATTCGAGGTCGATCACAATCTTCTGTCCGCACTCTTTGGCTCTGCTCAGTCTCTCTGTGTTTCTCTCTCGCTCCTCTGACCTCTGCTCCATCCTCTCCTTCCTTAAACTCTTCCTCGACTCTATCAGCTTCCCCCTCTCCTCTTCGCTAACGCTCGCCAATCTCTCCTCCCATTCCTTCCGCTTCCGCTCCCCCTCTCTCTTCTTCTGCTCTTTTTCCAGAGCTTTCTTCTCTGCCTTCTTCGCTTCCCATTTCTGCTGCTTTAACAGCTTCTTCTGTGCGCTCTTCGACAGTCCTCCGCAGTAGTTCCTACCTTCTTCCGCTTCGGGCCCTTTTTCCTCATTATCTCTGCCCTCCATTGTTCGATTGCTCAATGCTACCCTCTACAACTACAATCGAGAGATGGAAGCTTCTTCCTCAGCGCTTTGGATGTTTTGCTAGGGTTTAAGTTGTTTTTTCACTAACGATTACGATAGCTGCGAATGACGGAACGACGTCGTCGGCTGCTCGGAGAGATTGAGGACAGACACAAAACCTTGGTCGGTTTTATCCGGGTCGAATAAAGTATCGGCCCTTTTAGCAAATGACTCAACGATCCTCCATCTCAGTGTGATAAAAGTTTCCAACATGACCTATAAATGAGTTGAGTTGGGTTTTAGACGTGTGGCCCAATTCGGTTTAGAGCATTGTTGTTAACCAAAGTAAACATATCGATATCAATTTTCTCTATTTGCAATCACGTAAATAGATTGATTTGTTTTACCCAAATGTCTGATTTCGGTTGGTTGATTTTAATTCCACATTAAACTTCTAATTCAATTTGTTATGCTCATGCCCAAACTACATTATGTGCAATAGTGTCACATCACACATATGCAAAAAAGCTCATGAACCTCCAAATGTCTTCAAGTAGACATGTAATTTTGTCTTATGTTGGAGCATAATAAGTAGTATTTTAGAGGTCAACCTCAATATAAAGTTGTTGAATATAGTGTTAATGCAGTGAATGTAAATTCATGTATCGTAACTACAGAAGCTTCGACTTCCAAAACCAATACATACCCAATTTGACCATTAGCAACAAAAAGATGTTTGTGATGATCTAGACTCAACCCTAAAATTAAGCTTCAGCACTCATTGTGTTTCGTTAGGGACTAACGGTGTAACAAAACACATATTATAGTGACCTCTGCAACTAATAATTGAGTTCAGTGACTCAAATGCAATTATGGGTATAGTTGATGGACCATAGCTGCGAAAAACCCTTGTATTTATTTTAAATAAAAATAAAAATAAAAAGACTGACCCATGATATGTGACAGAATTTGGTGAATACAAAGCAAGGGTATGGGAGTAACTTTGATAATTTACTTATTTATTTTTGTTTTTGAAAATGGGTAAGTTTTGTAATTACTGATCATATGCAAGTACTTCATGTGCCAGTTGTTCATGTTTCGACGAGCTGGGGTTGAGGTATCCAAGTCTTTCACAACAATGCATGTTTACGGCGTAGCCACTATTTCCCCCAGTTGTTCTTATGTTTGGTTTGGTATTTTACAATTGCACCCATAACAAAAAGACTTTTCTCTTCGTGACACAAACACAGTGGCACAACTTGTAATGAAGAATCTTTTATTAATTTATGCAATAACTTTCTTTTGTCTTTTTAATTTAATTTGTGTCACGTAATTCAATTCATATATAAATTTATGTATTTAATGTGTTAAAAAAAATTTATGTATTATTTCATGCTCAGGGGACCATCAGTGACAAGTAGTCATTACTCCACTATCTAATATTTCATGCTTTTACTTCTCCCATGCAGTAGTATATATTTTATTTATTATTATAAATCAATAGACAGTAACTACTCAAATCTACAGAGACTGTAATACAATTTTAAAACTTTAAAATCAAATCTAGATTTATTTTGAATGTGATCCACGAGGACATGAAGGAGAAATAACTAAAATATAGGGGCAGGAAAGGAAAAGTTCCGTATATAGAAATGGAGTTCGGACTCGTGATGTAAATATTAAATATAATCCAAACAGCTTATGAAGTCAGCATTTTCTTGAAATTTCACTTACATTTGCAGTTCATTTCGCATTGTTGTTCGAAAAAGCCCAACCCCTCTGAGACTTGAGAGAGAGAGATAGAGAGAGACAAACAGACTCAGGCACTCAGTGACTCAGCCAGAAAAAAAAAGAGAAGAAAAACCCCCCTCTTCCTTCACAACTTTGAATCTCGCCCTTATCAACTCCATGAGAGAGGTCTTCCTGCCGTGAAACGACAGCGTTTGCGCCCCGAAGAAATGGCCCAAAACCTTGAGCAGCAGCTCAAGGAGGTGGGATCGAAGCTCGAAACCCCTCATTCCTCCAAAGACGCTCTCGTGAAGCTCCTAAAGGTTTGCATTCCTCTAATTTCTTAGTTTCTATAGGCAATTTTCTGTCGCTTACAGCTCGTTCGAAGTTAAATTGCAAAGCTCTTGGTTTCGGGGAATTTGACGCTCTCTAACGTTAGTTATTTTAGTTATTTTCTGTTTGGTTGCTAGGAAAGCAGTGAAAGGAAGCGAAATTAAGCATTAGAAATTTCTTTTTCTAATTTATTTTCTGTAACGTATACTATTTCTCTTTGCTAATTTCATTTTCGAAACTGAAATTCTCGGCTACAGCAAGTAATCTAACTAGTTGAATTAGGGTTTTCTTAGGGGATTAAACAGAGGGTAATCTTGAGACGTCACATTAAACTTCCTTTTTTATGGCAAGAAACATAACAAATTAACTTCCTTTTTGGTTTTGGGGATTAAACGGAGTGTTCAGTGAAATATGTCTGTTTAGAGGTTTTAAATTCCTTATGGTTGAAAAAGTTCAGGGCAATTTCGTTGATTTAGGTTATTCATTCGCTAATGCTATGTGGTTGTAGTGTCGAGTTATCCGAAAGCTGCACTTGTTGGTTAGATGCTAATGAAGTGAGTGGAAGAAATGAAATCGGGTTCTGAGTCTCTAGTGTTAACATGATATTGTTTACAGGATCGATATTGTTGTAAAACATTTTGCTTTTAGCTGTAGTATAAGGATATGTATAGTTCACTTGTATTTTATAGGAAGATGGTTCATTCTTGTTAATTGTCTCCCAATGTACCACCTACCAGTACTAATGTGGAAGAAAAATTTACCCAATCTATGTGATAAATATGTTGGTGATCTAAAAGTAGATAGAAGTGTTTGGTCATATTGGAAACTTGAGGGTGGTGTTGCACTTAAAGAGGATCTTGATAGGTTTGTTCTGAAGTCTTATAGTTGTAGTGGTGTTTTGGTGCTTGGGTGGTAAGTTGGTGATCCAATTGGATTGATGTTTGAAGTGCTAAATAATGCTAAATAACCACAGTATGTTCGATTATGCCAGTCCTTGGAAATTTCATCCCTTGTTTGTGTAGGGTTCTTTTAGTTTACTCAATTATTTTTTTATATAGCTGGTGGCCTGGTAGTGGAAAATAATTATAGAATCTTCCTTCCCAATTGAAATGACTATTAGAATTATGGAAATTTCTCTGTTGTTTTATTTTCATTTGGGACTATAAGAATAAATCCTTATGATGTTATCTTTGTCGTTCATCATTTGCCTCACCAATAAATGCGTGCTATGTGGAATTTTTTACTTTTAAAAACACTCTAAAGATTCTTCTAATCATCAGTAGGCTATAGAGGATAATTATTCTGTAATGTGGATGCTTATACTTGTGAGACTATTGACTTTCCATGTAAAATTAGGTTTAATTAATGAATACTTGCTATTATTTTCTTCCAACTTGCAGCAAGCTGCATCATGTCTTTCCGAGTTGGACCAGTCACCTCCAGCATCTACATTGGAGTCAATGCAGCCTTTCCTTAATGCAATTGTCAAGCCAGAACTGTTGAAGCATCAAGATAGAGACGTCAAGCTTCTAGTTGCAACGTGTATTTGTGAGATAACACGGATTACTGCACCTGAAGCTCCTTATAGTGATGAGGTGCTAAAGGTGCGTTATCAAAGTCAGCTGGTTAAATGATATACTGCACTTTCATGTTGTGAATGCGTTTTGGAATTTCACTTCCACGATCTCACCTGATTGTTCCATACATCTTTGCAGGATATATTTCATTTGATTGTGGGCACTTTTAGTGGATTGAAAGATACAAGTGGTCCATCATTTGGTAGGAGAGTTGTCATTTTGGAGACTCTTGCGAAATATAGGTCATGTGTTGTAATGTTGGACCTTGAATGTGATGATCTGGTGAATGAAATGTTCAGTACATTTTTTGCCGTTGCCAGGTTTGTTTTGTTTCTTTGAAATATTTGTTCATGAGTTTGAGAAATGTCTTGTTTTCATAGTCTTATCATATCCTCCAAAACGTGGGATTCTCTCTAAGGTGGTCATTGTTGTTCCCACTCTGTTTCATGAATCAATTACTTTGATTAAGTTACTTGGATCTTTCTCATCTATATATGTTACTTTATATTTCCAAGATAATGTCTGTAGATCAGTCTGATAAGGGCATCAACACCAATCTTGGGTAGTTATAGCTTTCCTATACGAGATAGAACGAAAGATGCAATAGTCAACATATTATACAGCTAAACTGTATGACGAATTATTTATTTATTATTTTTTTGGGGGGGGGGGGGGGGGGTGTGTGTCTCTGGCTGTTAGAATATATATTTTTGTTTTCTCTCTAAATGTTTATTTCTTAGAATTTAAACTGAAGTAAGAGTTTCAGCTCCAATTTAAAAACTAATGTTTTGAAATTGTCACATATGCAGAGATGATCACCAAGAAACTGTTCTATCATCGATGCAAACAATTATGATTGTTCTCTTAGAAGAGAGCGAGGATTTGCGAGAGGATCTTTTACTTGTTGTATTGTCTATATTAGGTCGGAATAGAAGTGTAAGAATCTCTTCCCTATTTTCTGGTGTATGGAATTAATTTTGTCGTTTTTGGTCAAGTTACATGTATTTTACTGCTACAATTCTTTTGACTGACTTGGTAAAATTCAAATACTAGGATATTACTGTGGCTGCTAGGAGGCTTGCCATGAAAGTTATAGAACATTGTGCAGGAAAGCTTGAATCTGGCATTAAACAGTTCCTTATATCATCAATGTCAGGAGACAACAAGTCGGTGAATCATCAGATTGATTACCATGAAGTGATCTATGATGTATATTGTTGTGCTCCCCAAATCTTGTCAGGAGTCGTCCCTTACCTAACTGGAGAGCTACTGGTAAATACTAATCCAATGTCTTACATTTCACCTCTTCCCCTATACACGTATGGTACTTAACTATATTGAGTTTTGTAATGGGTTCTTTGTGCT